CCGAGTCACAGGGGGACCAGCATGGCTCTGCCAGGGCAGCAGGACCCCTGGGTAGGATGCTTTTTTAGTGCCATGGCCTATGTGCCTCTGGCAAACCTCCTGGCACATCACAGAGATACTTTAGGGCTGGTGCAGTGCAGGTGCAGGTTGTGGGGTGTGGAGGTTACAGGAGTTGCAGGAGGGTCATCCCATCCCCAGGGTGCTGGTGGGGACCACTCTTCTCCCTCATCCTCTCCGTCACCACTGAGGTGGGAAAAACTCAGCAGGAGGGAGACGACAGATTTCTCCAGATGGTGCCCCCTTGATCACAGTGGTTCCCCATCTTTGGCTCTTCCTTATGAAAACATGGCACAGGCCAGCCCATTGATTAATGGTTTCCTCATGTACCCCCTGCACAGCCGAACTGGAAAGTTGCCTCCCTGCTCCCCAGGATCCCCTGAACCTCCCCTTCCTCCTCATGCCCCCGCACCCTGCAGGAGCCCAGGTACCCTGGGCACACAGGGAGAGTGTGTTAAATCAGTGAACTGTGCTCTCATAAAGATGAGGGATCATAGAATCATGGAATGGTTTGGGTTGGAAGGGAACTTAATGATTATCTAGTTCCAACCCCCCAAAATAGATAGATTAGGTGAAGGAATAAATGAAAAAATGAATGAATGATGTGGTGGTTAACTCTGATGTAATAAATGCCCCCAAGGCTTGTTAAAATACACTTGACATTTTGAACAATGGCACATTTCTCACTGTTTTGCACGGACAAGAGTAGCTGGAGCAGCTCAACCCCCTGAACACTTGGCTGACAGGGTCATGGGTAGAAAAAGTGCATCCTGCCCTGGTCCTATAGCCCCTCCATCAGGAGCCTGGGTGGGTGGAAGGGTTGGAGTTGGGAGGGCAGGAGGGGAGCTGGGAAAAGGAGAGGCTGAGGTTTGCTTAGGAAGTAAAATTTGGGAGGTTAATGAGGCTTGTGAGGATTGTAAAGCACCAAGTAAAGCCCTGTGCCGGGGTAAGGGGTGGTGGGCAGAGTGCTGCTGTACCAAAAGCCCAGCAGAGCCAGAATGGAGGATGTGGCATTGACTGGGGCAGTTTGACAGCTGAGGGATGGCAGCAGGCCACTGATGCCTAGTGCACTATGTCCACAGGAGACAAAGTGCCATGCTGTTAACCGTAAAAGCATGGAAAGGTCGGGCTGGTAGGGACACCATCACTGCTCTATGGCAGCTGGAGCCACTAAGATCCATGTTGATCTGCATTGCAGGATGGAGTTGCTCTGTATACCAGGGAGCATCAAGGGAGTAAGGAGACCACATCAGGCCATGACAAGGGGCCAAACAAGTAGGTCTTGCCTAAGTATATCTTGCTACTCACCAGGCAGCATGTCCCAGAGTCCAGCACTGAGCTGTGCTATACTGGCCAAGCAAAATGCTCTTTGCTTGACTGTGCTGGAGGTGTTTTCCTGTGGGATCTTTATGGACTTCAGTGACCAAGAGAAAAATGGTGGGAAATAATGTGTATGCATCCATGTGCCTACTCATCTACTCATCTCTCTGTCCACTAAGGTTGGGGTACAGCTGTCTAAGCTCCTGTGATATCTTGTGAGTGGAACTGGCTGGACTACATGGAAAAAGAGCATCGAGTTTCCTGTAGTATTCTCATGTTTTGCTTCTTTATTTGTCCAAATTCCATGTTTCCATGAAAAAAGTCCATTGGCCTTTTGAAATGAGAAAAATTTCAAACAGCTGCAAAATTCAGTCCCAAAGTGAGGGGGGAACTTGCAAATGTGACCTCTCCTTCAAAGTGATTGAATCTCAATCATTTTGCCCCAGCTGAATACTAGGAAAAGGCATTTGCAGGCTGGAGCAGAGGGTCCTTGCATGGCATTCCTCAGCACACATGAGCTCAGCCTGATGCTCATGGGCCGGGGTCTGCACTCCAGGAGTGAGAGTGCACCGGAGCATGCTGAATCTTTTCAGATCCTTCATTAAATTAACTTTTTTTTTGCATCAGAGAGCTGGTTTGGAAAGTGTTCACCTTCATTGTGGCAAGTTTGTTTATGCTGCAATGTCTCTTGGCCTTGCAAAGGCTACTGCTTTTGGCCTTGGCCACCAGGACTGCATGACTGTCACCCAAGTCATAGAGCCACAGAACCACAGACAGGTTTGGGTTGGAAGGGACCTTAAAGCTCATCCAGTTCCAGTCCACTGCCACAAGCAGGGACACCTTCCACTAGACCAGGTTGCTCCAAGCCCCATCCAACCTGCCCTTGAACACTGCCAGGGATGGGGCAGCCACAGCTTCTCTGGGCACCCTTTGCCAGCACCTCAGCACCCTCACAGGGAAGAGCTTCTGCCTAGAGCTCATCTCAATCTCCCCTCTGTCAGGTTAAAGCCATTCCTCCTTGTCCTGTCCCTACAGGCCCTTGTCCAAAGCCCCTCTCCAGGTTTCTTGTTGGCAACTTCAGGTATTGGAAGACTGTTATAAGGTCTCTCCTTAAGGAGCCTTCTCTTCTCTAGGCTGATGAATGAAAAATGAATTCTTTCTTCAGTCTTTGGAGTGACACAAGCAGGGGAAGTCAGGACAACAGCAGCAGCTTCAGTGAAGGTGCGAAGTGGCCTATTCCAGTCCTTCAGCCAGGACTTTAGGATATACCCAGGAAAGGGGGAGCTCCTCTCCTCAGCAGCAGCCCGTGGCACATGCGGTGGTCCTGCTCTAGTGTCTCCGATCTGCCCCAGCAGGACACACATATGTACTGGGACACCAGCTGGGAGCCATCCCTGCTCATCAGCAGTCCCAAGTGGCAGAGCTGAAACAAGAGGAATGAGCTGTATGGGAGGGTAAACCGAGAGCTTCAACCACCAACACCAAAGTCCTCAAAGTTTTAGGTTCTCTGTTTCAAGGGAGGAGAAATCAGGTGCCAAAGGAAACCCTGGATCCTCCTGCCCCAGCAGGCTGTAAGAGTACTTTTTGGGTAGCACAGACACATTATACCTCTCCTGAAGGCTGTAGCTGCTTGGAGAAAACAGATGCCTTCTGTAGCCCTGCCCTGATGGGCATCCATGCAGTGGTGCTGCCCTGCTCTTTCGTGGGCTGAGCTGCTGAGAAGAGGGGCTCAAGAGCCCCCACATCCCATGGGGTGATGCCAAACAGCCTCTGGGGCTGTGGGGATAACCCCAATGGGATCATCGTCCTGGCTGTGTGCAACCAAAGGGTGTTCCACCTCTGACACTTGCATGAGGACTGTAGGGATCATGGGGTCAGAGTGAGCCTGGGGCAAGCTCTGCTTCTGCTTCTGGTCTGCTTCTGGAGTGCAAGCAGCCACAAGAGGAAGAGGAGGGGTAGGTGGGCTACATACTTCAAGGGCCGTCTCATGGCAGAAACCAATAGCCTGGGAGAACCAGAACAAGAGGAACCAGGGCTGGGAGGATGCCCTCAGCTCAACTGAGAGAAAGGGGATTCTATGTTAGGAGTGTGGTATAAGACCAGCTCATGCAAGGCCAAGTGATTGCACATACCCTTTGCCCTTCAGCTTCTGCCCTCCTCTCAGCTCTGTTCATGCCTTCTGTAGGCACACCAGCATCCACAGGACCTGAAAGGCTCTGCACATCTCTGAAAAGCCACTTCCAGCACCTCCAGCAGCTTCATCAGTGGACTGAGCTCCCTGAGTTGGGCATCCGCACGTCCACACAGACATCCCCCAGTGCCTACACCCTCACTCCCAAACTCCCCTCTCCTGAGCCTGTGTCTTCAGCTGCAGACTCCAGCACTATGATGGGATGACGGAGCCCAGAAGCACTGGACCAGCCATGGGATGGGGAGTCCACGTAAGCTGCCACGGGCTCCAAGGAGCAAAGCATCATCCCAAAGCACTGGAAAATTGTGATGTATGCTGCAATATCTCGCTGAGCCATTCAATAAGCAAGGCAACGTTTGTAGGCAAAGGAATATCTACTGTCAGAGCACCTATTATTTCTACTCGTATTTATTATGCCAAGACTGCTACAATCTCAACATGGGATGATACTGATGTCTGCTTGAACTGGAGGCTAATACATGGTGAAGAAGATATAAAAGACTAGAGGTGGGTCAGTGAAAGCTCTTCTCTCTTCGTGCCACCCCTGCCTTGTGCATATCCTCAGACAACCTTGGTCACAGCAATACCTTCAGGGGACTATGCAGCCAAGCCAGATCTGAAGGATACACACCAAGGCAGACGGTCACTTGGTGTCAGCTCTACAGAAATGGGTGGAATTATGTCAGTTGGTACCAGCCAAGAATACGGGGACATAGACCTGGGTGGATGGATGATGACACATGATGGCTGTGGTCATCCTGTTTGCCAGAGGTCCTGCTTGTGGGGCAGGCCACAGCCTTGGAGGACATGGGAGGGGAAAATGGGTGTCTCTAGGTCTTTCCCACTGGGTTGCTTGGACTATACACCAGCATAGGTAATGGCCAGTGGGGGTGTGAAGTCTGTCCTTTTCTCCCTGGCGGACACAGCTCTTCCTGGTATTGGCCACCAACCAGTGTCTGTCTTTTCCTTAAGGCACTGCAGCATCACATGGGTCCTGCTGCAGGCGGCAGCACTGGTCCATGTAAACCCAACGTCACCAGACAATTAGGCCTGAATGACTCAAAGTTCATTTGTTTTTCCTGGTGGAGAACCTGGGGCTGGTCCCTCTTCAGCATTAGGATGGTTTCCACTCATCCTGTCTATATACACATCAGTATGATGGAAGAAGACTCAGACCTGTCCCTACTGGGCAAGGAGAAGGGGCAGAGAGAGATCTAACTGCAGCACATTTTTAGAGAGCAAGGAAGAAGCAGGGCCTGGATGCTGGAGAAGGGAGAACTGTCAACTCAAAGGTCACCACCAGGCAGAAGAAGACTAAAGGGAAAAGAAAAGCCTAGAAAACAAGTGCTACCAACAGCATGCCCAGAGAAGCACATCAATCCCCTTCAAGCTCCTTCAGGCACCATGGAATCTCACTCTGCTTTGCTCCTCATTAAAGGTTTGTCATTACTGTGTTATTTTTAATACACACTTAGAGGAAAAGGCCCACATGCGCACCATACGTGCATACAAGGGGAAACCATTGCCAAAATATACACTATAGACAGAAGAGTCTGTTCACACTATATATATGTACAGAGTCTCTGGGTGCAGTTTGGCAGCGCACAGCCGGGCTGGGGCTGAGCATGGGGTGGGATGGAATGTGTGGAAACCCCTCAGGGCTTCACACACTTTCCCTTCTTCTCCCGCCGCTGCAGTTTCCGAAGGCGGCGTGTCCAGGCGTCCCGCCACTGGATGACAAGGCTGTTCTTGTCAGCCATCAGTCCCGGCCGGTCAGTGGAGTTTTCACTGATCCCCATGACCAGGTACTTTTTGCTGATCTGGATCTTGGGGCACTTGCAGGACAGGTCTTTCAAGTGGATCCACAAGACATTGTCACCACGCTTGACCCGCTCGTCACGGCACTTGTAGACAGAGAGGATGTTGATGGTGAACTTGGCCCAGTTGGCCACCATCTCCATTTCAAGGATGTTCACCTGGACCACTGAGGGAAAGGAGCAGGAGACACGGTGGTGCTTTGCCTTGCTTCTCAATGGAAGTTTTGGTGACAGGAACTGCCCATCACCAGCAGCCCCACCTACCTCATCTATTGTACCCTTTGGGGGACTTATATGGGGACCCCTCTCCATGCTGGGTGCTCCCCGTGCCCTGGAACATCTGCATCTCGCCCACCCACAGCCAGCCTGTGGCCAGCCCCCTATAGCAAAGCCCAGCATGGTCCAGTGAGGGAGGAGGTCCTTACCATAGTCCTTCTTGCAGTACTTCTTCATGTTAATCTTGTAGTTGCCCTTGGCTGGCTTGCAGTAGGAGTCACAGTCTGTGGAAGAAGAACAGAGGGTTGAGCATAAAGATGCTTGAAGGACATGGGGTCCCGTACCACCACAAGAGAAGAGGGTGGAGTGCATGGCAGCTCATAGGGGCTGGGAACTCAAATCCCAGCACAAACACCGACACCACATCAGCCAGGAAGAGAAATCAAGTGACTTTGGGCCTATCCAGCAGACTGTGTCACCTCCTGTGCTGATGGTGTCCTGCAAGATAAGTCAGCACAGGAGTAGTAGAGGGAGCCTGGGGACTCTCCTCTGAGATGCAAAAAAGGGATGGGTGGGAGAAATGTAGGTGAGCTAATGAAGGCCACCATGGAGAGCAGGTAGGGGCCATGACCAAGGAGAGTCAACCAGAATGGCCCTGCAAACCTGGGCAATGTGAGAAAGAGTGGGCTCAACCCCACCATCCACAGGGAGGAGGCCCAAAGGACAGTCTGTCCCCAGACCAGTGGGGTGGCCATCCTCAGCCCTCAGGGGCCAGGGTGGTGGAAAGCATCCTCATGGGGCAGCCCCTCCAGAGACCTGCAACTTGCCAGTGGCCCAGAAGTGGGGAAGGGAACTTGGGCCATGGGAAGCTGGTGGGTAAGGGACATGGCTCTGCTCTGCCACTGCTCCTCCTGCCCAAGCATCCCCTGCTCAGATGGGCTGGGGAGGCCACCATGCTGTCCACACCACAGCATCCTTTCCCTGCAGTCCCAGCTTCAGGCAAGGCCCATGTCCTAAAGGAGGCTCTTTTCTGTGCATTTCTAAAGACCCCAGATTTGCATCTCAAGCAGAGGGAGGGCAGGGAATGCCTCTTTCCTTCTCCCCAAAGGCTTTGATCCCAACAATTGCCTGCAGCAGCCCTGTCCTCCTTTCTTTCTCCCTGCCATCTTCCTTTGAACATCTCAATTTGTCTCTTTCCAAATGGCATGGTTGTGTTGTGTTGTTTTTTTTTTTTTCTAAGGCCATCTTTCATCTTTTCTCTCCCTCTTGCAGGTTCTCTCTGGCTTGGCCCCACATCCCAGGACAGAGCCAGCAGCCTCTGAAGTTGTCTTTGTTTGCAGGTTGCCACAGTGATTACGGGTGACAGAGACGAGGGGCTGGGGGAATAACAGTGCCCTGTGCCAAGGGGAGGAGGAGAAAAGAGGAAAGAAAACAGGAGCACAGACTCTGCTGCTCTCCTTTCTGCCCGGCTCTCCTTTATCTGGGACTTTGTGCCACCTGTCCCAAATTTGTCCTGGGGAAAAGCAGTGCAGCACAAAGCTAATTCTTGGAAGAGGGGGATGAGCCCCAGTTCCCAGCTCAGCCCCTCTGCTCCAGCTGGCAGAGCTGCCCCAGCCCTGCTGCATCCCCCAGGACTGCAGTGGTGGCTGTGGAGCTGGTGTGGGGTCTCCCCATGCTGGGGGGGCTGCTGGGTGCACTGAAATGCTCAGCTGTGGCACTAAAGGTGCCCCCATCTGCTGCATCCCTGGGAGCTGCCTCAGCCTCATCCTGGATCCCACTGTATCCTCTGAGACATGCTACAAGCCTGTCCCTGACACCCTGCTCCACCCTTTTATGCTACAAGAAAGGGACTCTAAACGGGAGCTCCCACCTCATTCTGTGGCTTGCCCAGCAGGATGGACAACCTTTTCCTCCCCACGCAGAGTGATGGAAGCTGAGAGGGGCTTTGGACAAGGGCCTGTAGGGACAGGACAAGGGGGAATGGCTTTAACCTGACAGAGGGGAGATTGGGGTGAGCTCTTAGGCAGAAGTTCTTCCCTGTGAGGGTGCTGAGGCACTGGCACAGGGTGCCCAGAGAAGCTGTGGCTGCCCCATCCCTGGCAGTGTTCAAGGCCAGGTTGGATGGGGCTTGGAGCAACCTGGTCTAGTGGGAGGTGTCCCTGCCTGTGGCAGGGGGTTGGGACTCGATGAGCTTTAAGGTCCCTTCCAACCCAAACTGATCTGGGATTCTATGATGCCCTGCACACAGGCAACACCTCTGCTGCTGGTGGGGAGCCAGCACATGGGAAGGATGGACGGATGGGTGGATGGATGGATGGAAGGATGGATGGGTGGATGGATGGATGGAAGGATGGATGGGTGGATGGATGGATGGATGGATGGATGGATGGATGGATGGATGGATGGCTGGCTGGCTGGCTGCATGGACAGACAAAGCAGGTTGATGCTGCACACACATGGGAGGAGGTGGCCAGTGACCAGCGAGCCACCAGCTGGTGCAGGCATCCCCAGTCTGTGGGGCAGCGTTTGCAAGAGGCAGTGAGTTTGCTTTGCACATCTGGTTTACTTCTCCTCACCTTGGAAAAAAAAAAAAAAAGAAAGAGGAATATTTTGTTTTAAGAGAGATGTAACTTAATTAGGTGTTATGGCTGCAAATTTTTTACTGCTGACTTTGAATTCCTTTAAAGCCCTGTTTTGTGCGCCATGGTTTTTGTTAATTCTGCTAATGGGGAATGGGATTTTCTAGATTTTTTTTTCCACTTAGTGGAAAATATTTTAAGATAATTATAATAAAAATTACAAGAGGTGGACCTAGGATGTTTCAGCTTTGAGACGGTCAGCAGCTTGGGCAGAGAGATCAAAGCCAGACCTCAAAGGCTCAGGAGGGTGGGAAAGGCAGCAGAAAGCTGGGAAGAGCGATGCAGTGGATGGCAAAGTCAGCAAAAAGCCTGGACGCACCCGGGGACAGGACCCTGCAAGGAAGAGGATGGGGAGAGGGGGGAAGTCCAGCACCTGAGCACGATGGCCCCGAACAATGTCCCCCTGTTCCTGCAGCCCAGCACTTGCTGCCAGCGGCAGGGAGGGATGTGGGGAAATGGGGGGAGAGGGGCTTGGAGGCTGCCTGGGTTGGGAGGACTGCAGGGATTGAGAGGCTAAGTGCTGAGTGTCCTCTTGGGGAGTGCCCTGCTCATGGGGGAGCTTGGAGCTCCTGCAGCACAGAGAAGCAGCCAGAGGGGCATCAGGGTGCAGGAGGGTGCAGGCAGGGAGCAGGGAGCAGGCAGGATGCAGGAAGCAGGCAGGGTGCACCGCTGTGGCCAGCCCTGCCTGCAGCACCAGCACACTGGAGACAGAGAAACAGAGGCAGAGTTGGGCAAGGCAACATCACCCACCCCATCTCTGATCCCTGCCGGCCAAGGGGGCAGCAGGACTCCAAGAGGATCCCCTGCTCCCCCAGTGCAGGCTCTGGGCAGAGGTGAGCAACTTTGCATTAAAGATAATCAAGCTAGAAGCCAGAAATCTTGACATCACAAAGCCACAGATAAAACTAAAACAGTTTAAGGCAGACCTGCCCTGCTAAAACAAAGTAAACACCCGGTAAACACCACAATAGCCTGGGGAGGGGCTGTTAGCATTTTCCGCTCCCAAGGCGAGGTTTCTGCAGGAAGGAGAGCTGGGGAGAAGAATGTTCACAGTGCACTGGCTCTCCAAGGAGGGATTAGGCTCCCCCTGGGATAGATGTACTCCAAACTTCTAGAAGAGAGGGCTCTGAGCAGACCTTAGAGCAGCTTCCAATGCCTGAAGGAGCTACAAAAAACTTGGAGAGGGGTTTTGGACAGGAGCCTGTAGGGACAGGACAAGGGGGAACAGCTTTAACCTGACAGAGGGGAGATTGAGATGAGCTCTTAGGCAGAAGCTCTTCCCTGTGAGGGTGCTGAGGCTCTGGCACAGGGTGCCCAGAGAAGCTGTGGCTGCCCCATCCCTGGCAGTGTTCAAGGCCAGGTTGGACAGGGCTTGGAGCAACCTGGTCTGGTGGAAGGTGTCCCTGCCCATGGCAGGGGGTTGGAACTGGATGAGCTTTAAGGTGCCTTTCAACACAAACCAGTCTCAGATTTTGTGATTCTATGAAATGAGTCATGGGGAAGCTCCTCAGTACATATGGTTGTGGGGAGTTGGAGGCGCTTCTGCTCTCTTACCAGGACCATGTGCCATGGGATGGAGTGAAGGATGGTGCAGGATGTCTATTCCCCCACACTGGCATGTGAAAGAAGACCAAGGTCCTGGGGACAGCAGGGTGAAAGGTGACCTGAGGATGTAAGTGGCTGCTTCTTTCCCTAACTTCAACCTCTTGTAGTGGCTTAGGATCCCTACAGGGGTATGGCTAGGAACAGCCATGCTTCAGTGCCAACAGGACTGCAGAAGGAGGGAAGAAATGCAAAGTTTGCAGCCTGCTGCTGAAGCTGTCCCTCCTTCGGTGGGTGACAGCAGCAGTGACACTGATCCTTCCATGGTCCTATCACCCTGCGCAGCCAGGATAAGCAGCTCATACCCAAACATTTCACTCCTCCAGACCTGTACCCACTCATCTCCCAGGGTAGACCTGGCAGCCAGTACCTTGGCACAGGAGCTCCTGAGCCTGCTAGACTCCCCTGCTCTCCCCAGCACTGCTCAGAGAGCCAGAGCCCTCAGGGGCAGAGGGCACCGAGGAGAAACTTCTGGCACTGGCAATAACAAAAGGAGAGTAATAAAAAGCCACCTCAGAAGCACCCACACCACAACCCCAGCCACAATCTGCTGAGGGGTGGCGAGGCCCTGGGGGCTGCATACCTGCTTTCCTCCCTAGAGGGGATGGAGAAACTCTTTCCCCAAGGCCCTGTCAAGCTTTGTTGGTCTCTTTCCAGAAATACACAGGATTTCAAATCTCAGTCATCACTTTCACCAATTTTTTTTTTTTTTTTTTTGCTATTAAGCTTTTTGCCCATGGGTTTGGCAGGGCTCAGCCCTTCTCGCTTTGTGCTGGGTAGAGGGGAGATGGGATGGGATGTCTCTGGGCAGGGCTGGGGCCATGGGCTAATCCTGGGACGTGAAGCACTTACCCGCAGGCGCCTCCGTGCTGGTGACCAGGGAGGTGGGGTTGATGGCAGGGATCTCTGGAAGAGAAAAGATGTCTTAAGGAAAGGGATCCCCAGCTCTGGTGGTGACACTTGGGCAAAAGCCTCCTGCAAGCAAGGTGCAGAGGGGACTTTTTGGGTCTTCTCCAGCAGCTCTCTGAGAAAGGAAATGGAACGAGTCTGACCACAACAGCACAGGCCATTAAATAGGCCCAAAGATGCCCAAACCGAGCTCAGTGAACTGGGACAATCTGAGATACTGCATGCCCCATGAGCCGTAAGGCACTGCTGCAAAGGACGTGCTCCAGGGAAGAATGCTCCTTGGATGCTCAGTTCATCTGAATTCAGTTTGGGCACTGGATGGACGCTTGGCTGATCTGAGCATACTCCATCCAGGCTGCACAGCACAGGGGTAAGTTTGGGCAAAAAACTTTATCAGGACTTCCTGTGACAGAACCTCGGGGAAATTCTGTCCTAACCTGGGGAAGAAGAGGGGGAGAGGAGCCAGCCCCGCCAGCTCCAGCGGTGCTCAGGGCAGGAAGTTGTTCCTCTGCCACTTGTGAGAAAGTCACAGTCACTGCAACAGTAACATGGTTTTATGCTGACCACAGGATCTGGCCTTGATCCAGCCCTGACCACGTTGAGGGCTCAGCTGGGTGAGGGGTGCAGCTTGCTGCAGCTGAAGAGGTCACCCAGTACAGCTGTTTCAGCCATCTGGAAGCACTAACCCAAAGGGTCTTTTCGGAGCCTTCTGTGCTGGGGGATGTGATGCATGGGTGCCACCAGAAGGTGACCCAACCATCCTAACTTGATCACCTCCTGGAGAACATCCATAAAGATGGACATGCTCTCATCTCAGCCTCCCATCCACCACAAACTGCACGCACATGGATTGGTGACAAAGAGGCAGCCAGTGAAGCCAGCTCAAGGACAGCAGCTGCGGGTGCTGGTGGGGGCACTCACTGATGCAGGGGGCCACTGGTGAGCGGCTCTGCTGGTAGCCCTTAGCACAGCGGTTGCAAGTGAGACCGGTCACGCCGTCTTTGCATGGGCACTGCCCTGTCGTCTGGTTGCAGGTCTTGCCGGCTGCGCCAACAGGGTGGCAGTCACAAGCTGGGTGAGAGGGAGAGAGAAGAGGTTTCATCAAAGGTGATGTACAACACAGACCTCAAACTGGACCCAATGTGTCCCCCCTTGGAGAGGTGAGGAGGAGGTGGGCCAGTGCACTAGTGGAAAGGAGCTGCCAGGGCTGGCACAACCAAGACCTGTAGGTCCAGACTGTGGCCCCATGTATGCTGCAAGCAGCATGGGCAGGATGGCAAGCAGAAAAAAGGCTTGGCCAGAGTACAGCTCCACTGACTGGGATGCTCAGGATGAGCCCCTGGAAACCCTGGAGGTCACACAGGCACCTGCAGACACCAGCTTGCATTTAAGGTCCAGACACCAGAACAGTTTCTTCCTGACCACTGCTCTGGGGACAGTCCATTGTGCACACAGGCAAGAGGAGGAATTTCCACAGGCAGCCCTTTCCTGTGTAACCTTTTCCTGTGCAACCAAAAGGCCCACATGGGGCTGTGCAAACCCTGGTTCATGGCCAGCATGGAACTGGGGCCACTGCAGGGACAGAAAGTAAACAGATACATGCCCAGGTCTGCCCTTCCCCCACCTCAACCCCAGGGCAATACTCCTGCTGCAGCAGTAAAAGGCATTTTCTCCACTCGCTCCCCCACCTGTGAGCTTTCCAGTCCATGGAGCTAAACCAACACTGAGATTTCACGCAAAGTCTGGCCTTGCCTTGATTTTAGGATAGTCTGAAGTGGGTCTTCTCGAAGCTTCTGAAGCCCACAAGCCTCAATGTTCATCCTGGCTCTTAGAGACCATGACCAAAGGATGTCCCTATTGCCTTTCTAATGCAGCCTCCCCAGAGACAAGCCACACCTGAGGTGGGTGAAAGTTGGGTATTCACGCTCAGAACAGACCCAAAGTTATTCTCCATCAGTGGATGATAGACCTACCGAGGGCTGTCTACATGGAAGAATGCAGGAAGGAGATGCTCACTCGGGAGCATCTTCCTGCCTGGGGCTGGGCTGGCTATGAGCTGGAAGAGGTTATCTTGGCCCCCATCAGTGTAAGAAAGAGTTGAACATGATTCCAAAGCAAAAAAAAACCCAACACCCCTCACTTTCCCTCACAGCCCCCCGATGTTATCATTTCCCTAATTTTCACCAGATGGGGCTGGTGGGAGCACCAAGGCACTGCTCCTTCAGGCCCCCTCCCACACGGCTAAAAACCAGAGCAAGCAGCCTGTAATGGGGACCAGATGCTTCACCCTTATCAGATCTTGGCTGGGACTGGAAGCGGACGTCTTTCTGACAGAGATATTTTGAGGGCTCAGCTGTGATAACAAATGGCAGTGAGCAAGGGAGCCTTGGCATGATGCAGGGCCATTGGAAACAAGGGGGCTTTCTTGGGCACCAGTGCTGGATCCTTGGTGTGAATTTTAAGAAGGGACATAAATCTCAACACAATCAGGATCCAACTCATCTAAGCAGATCTCTCTTCATGCAGTAGAATAAAGCTTTCAATGACTCTTGACTTTTTACCTGAATCAGCCATTAAGACAGCTTTTTTCATCTTAGGTCCACAGCAGATATGTGGTTTTGGGAGACCACCCTTGTCTCTGCCAGACCAACCTCCAGCCCCTCACCCTGCCATGGTGGGATTTCCCACAGGCTCACAGAAATCCTTTGCTCCTTCCCACTTGGATGGGAAAAGTATCCCAGGCAGCACCCAGTGCTTCCCCTGACCAGTCCCACATCCCAGCATGGCCGCATCTCACCACTCTGCCTCAGCATCTCCATCCTTCCTCATCCTGAGGTGACCGACAGTGGTGGCTGGCTCAGGGATGAAGGAACTGGGGGCATAGCTCCAGCTTCATCCCCAGCTCTACCACCACAGCTCCGTCCCCAGCTGCAGCTCCAGCTCCATTCCTATCCCCATCCTCATCTCCATTCCCAGATCCAGATCCATGTCCGCTGCGCACACATTGAGCCCTGCTGCTCACAGCCCTTCCGGGTGCCAGGATCTGGCCCACAGAGCTTGAATAGTGGATTAAGTCACTAGCTTGGAGCTTAACTCATTGAGCTGTCTTGCTCAATGCATGTCTTGCACCTAATATTGAGGGTATTTTTGCATCTTAAGGCTTAGCTGCTACTGCTTCCCCAGTTTTCACTGCAGAAAGCTCAGGGTTTACAGCTTTGTTTAAACTACAGGGATCAAGGCACACCCATTCTTCATTTGACTTCGCAATTACCATCACTGAATTAATCCTGCAGGTTGTTCTGCCTTTTCCATTCTCCCAGCTTTTCCGTCTCGCAGTGCCCAGTGGTGACACCAGGACAGGGAGGCCCTTCTGGGAGGGAAGAGTTTGACTTAGCGGCTGAGGGCTACATTCCAGTTCCAGAAGGAGACATGGGCCTCTGCAATGTACAGTTGATATTTCTCTGCCTGTTTCAAAGATGTTGCATCCCAAGCAGAAATGAACCATGGATGGATAGTTCAGTAATGTGCACTGGGATCTGCTAAATAAAACGAAAGAGTTCCTGGCCTCTGGGCTGATTTTTCACCTCCTGAATATGAACTGAGCTTCATCCCTAGCACCTGCAGTATCTCTCTTTGCTAGGATGCTCAGCTTCTGCCCTGGACCATCACCATGGCACATGCAAACGTCTTCATCCAAAGCCACACCCCTCAGTTCCCAGCAGCTTACTCCACAACTGCTTTTAACATCTGTTGTCATGAGCCATGCTTTTCCTTTTCCTTCTGTTTTCTTGAGGAAGTGTAGATACCTGAGCTGTACGTCCAAGACACATCTTTGGAAAACACAAGCCCAAACTCTCTAGTCACAGAATCCCAGACTGGTTTGGGTTGGGAGCAACGTTAAAGCTCATCCAGTTCCAACCTCCTGCCATGGGCAGGGACACCTTCCACTAGACCAGGTTAGCTGCTCTAAGGTCTTCCCAGAGCCTTCTCTTCTCCAGGCTGAACAAGCAGAGCTCTCCCACAGAGAGACCTGTCTCAGAGCAGAGGTGATCCAGACCTCTGATCATATCTCTAGCAGCAACAAATCCCATTCATGGCACTGGGCAGGTAGGCTCTCAGGTGCTGGTCCCGCTCCAAAGAGCTCCCAATCCCAACAAGATCCACCACTCGGTAAGTACAAGGAACGGGTGGAAACGCACTTTGCTTTACTGAAGAAGGGACAGCCAAAGGAGCAGAAGCATCAGGGATTTTATTATTAGCTCAGTTCCCTGAGGCAGAGACAGGAACTGGCTCCCAAGACCCAAGAACCGCCTTTACTGACATTCTCCTCAACATACACACTGTGGTAGGGAACAGCCCTTGTTCACATGCTCATCTGGTGAGGCTCAACCTTTGGAGCACTTCCAAACCTGGGGTAAACCCTGCCAGCCCTCCAGAAATGGCACCTCCCATTCCTGGCTGGCAGAGATCTGCCCTGGCTTGGTACTCGGACGGGCAGGAGAGGGACCCTGCAGCACTCAGCTCCTCTGCAGCATGGACTGGTGTTTCTCCTGCACAGCAGCATCAGTCCTCGCCCTGTCCTACCAGCTCCTGAGCACCCCTGGGTGCTCTGCACACTCCATCCTCTCCAGCGCAGCCACCTTGAATCTCAGACGCTTTCCATCACCTCAATGCTCCACAATTACAGGCCTGGGAAGATGGTGGAGCAGGACCAGGCACAGGCAGAAGGAGGCAGCCATAGCCCCTCTGCTTCGTCCACCCTCAGCCCTGAAAATGGAGGGACCTGAGCCAGAGCCTGGGTAGGAAATGCTGCACCTGCAGTATATCCTCCTCCCTGCTTCCAGCACCCAGCCAAATCCTGCTTGCTTTATTTATCAGTTTTTGCTCTCTTTCCTGGATGGAGCAGAAACAGAAACCTCAGTGCCCAGCACAAAGGCAGCACTGGGGATGCTGGGTGCCACAGAGAAGAGAACACCTGCAAGGATTCCACTTTGCTTGGGATTTCATGGGATAATTTTGGTAACAAAGGTAGAAGGAGCTGGTGAACCAAAGGGAAGCAGAAACCGCTCATCCAGGGCAGGGTGGGGAGGCTGGGTACTGACTGCAGAGGATGTGAGGGGAGGTGGAGGTGGCACAGCCACCCCAGTAGCCTCACAAGCCCTGGTGCCAGCTGGGGTGAGTGAGGACTGCCTGTGATCCCCCAGTGCTTGAGGACAATCCTCACAGAAAAGGGAATTTTGCTGCAGCTGCCCAAGTCCAGCAGTGCTGGAGCAGGAGCTGGGGACTGCTGCCATCCCTCCCTGGCCTCAGTCAGAGTCAGGACCCCTCCGGGAATGGGACAGGGCCCAGGATGCTGGGCTATAGACCTTCAGGATGCATGGAATCATAGAATGGTTTGGGTTGGAAAGGAGATTAAGATCATCCAGTTCCAAACGTCCTCCTACCATGGGCAGGGACACCTCCCACTAGACCATGTCACCAAAGCCTTGTCCAACCTGGTCTTGAACACTGCCAGGGATGGGGCAGCCACAGCTTCTCTGGGCAACCTGTGCAAACATCTCATCCCCCTCACTGTAAAGAACTTCTTCCTTAAATCTAACCTGAACTTCTCCTGTCTCAGTTTAAACCCATTCCCTCTTGTTCTATGGCTACAGTCCCTAGTGATGAGTCCCTCCCCAGCATCCCTATAGGCACCCTTGAGATACTGGAAGGCTGCTATGAGGTCTCCATGCAGCTTCTGTTCTCCATGCCTTGTCCTCCCTCCTCCTCTTCCTCTCTCCTAGTGTCACCCCAAGGATGGTGGTACCTGGCATGGCTTTGGGACCTGGTTGCTGCCTGGCATGAAGCCCGGCAACAGGAAACCCTTGCTGCTGCTGGGGGGCTGCCATGACCAGAGCCATAGCAGTGACATGGTTTGGCCATGCTGTTGGGCCTGGGAAGCCCATGGGAGCACGGGCTGCTGAGGAGGGATCTGTCGATCTGTGAGCTGCTTGGGTGATTACAGCTGATGAGCTAAGGAGGTGGCTGCAGGCAAGGCTGCCCTTGTCAGTGCTCAGCCATGCTCCTGCTGCTGTGCCAGTCAAACATGGAAAGTTTCTTCCTTTATCTCCTCAACTGCTCCCATGGAACACAGCATGGGAAAGGGACAAATGTCACCTCTTACATGAGCCAGAATGACAACAAAACTAGGGCACCCTAGAGGGGAACCCCAAAAGTCAAATCCTTCAATTCATGTCTGCGGCCACAACATTAACGGTCCAAAACCAAAACCACAGTTCCTGTGGACCCTACATAAACATACTATGTTTATGTTCTCACAGCAGCAGGGGTGCCCAGTGCCCATGAAATACTGCACTCCCTTCTGGGGGGTACTTGCACTCTAAGCTGGAAAAAGAGGGATCAGGGATGAATTCAGAGCACATGATATCTGGCACAGGCTGTGGACCTTTTAAGGTCAAGCTGTGGCTCAATGGCTTGGAGCAATTGCATCTCTTGGCCAGCTCAGGGACAAGCCACCCTACCTGCAGGCACTATGAGCCATGGTGCTCAGCATCCTCTCCAAAACAGCTCCCCAGAGCTACCCCATAGCTAAAACACACACCCGGATCCTGCTCCACAGCCCAGCAGGATGATGGACACCTCTGCCAGCATCCCCAGCCCTGTAAGGCAGGAAAGCCATCGCGGGTCATTTTGTGAAGCAGCTTGAACACTTCCAAGCACATCCATGGCCCAGACACCAGGACCCTGCCAGGATGGATGGAGCTCAAGGAATATGCTCACTCCCTGCCCATTGTCCTCCCCATTGCTTGAGGAGATGTGTTTGAAATGATGTCCCTGCCTGGTACTCTTGGGGTGGCAGAGGTGACCTGGATGACGGAGGCTGGAGGTGACCTGCAGCCAGGCTCTGAGCAAAAGGATGTTGCAAAGATGGGAGGGAGATCAAGACAGATTGTACGACCCACACTGCCTGCATGGAGAATCCCCCAGCTTACCTTTACAGGCCTTGCGGTCCGTAATGGACTTGCTGAGGTCCCGGTAGAAGCCCTCCTTGCAGTAGTGGCAGTGCCGCCCCGCGGTGTTGTGCCGGCAGTTGAGGCACACGCCACCGCTCTTCCTGCCTGAGAGCTTGTACAGCTCCATGTTGAAGCGGCAGCGCCGGGCGTGCAGGTTGCAGTTACAGGCTGCAAGGGAAGGGGAGAGGATGAGGGCTGGGGGTGCAACTTGGGACCCACCGGGGTGAGCTGGAGCTGCCCCAGTGCCAATGAACAGGACAGGCAGGGCACAGCTGGCCCCCAATGTGCTATCCAGATGTGCAGCATCAGCCAGTGCAAGGGGGTCAGGGTGGAGGAGAAAGGGCACATGTAGGGCTGGGGCATGGCTCAGGTGGAGGCAAGTATGGGGTGGAAGGGTGTAGATACGGGGTCTGGCAGCACACCCAGGCACCTGCAGCCCCATTGTCCCCCATCCCCCTTCCCACCCTCACGGGTGGGTGCACTGGCCTTGCTCCTGCTGCCTCACAGGGCACCATCCTCACCACCAACAATGGAGCCCCCAAACCCCTTACATTTAAGGCTCTACCCTGTATGCACGTGTGCACACACATAGCAGCCCGCACAGCAACCCATGTGTGCACAAACAAATGTGCACAGGGACACACACAAGCTCACGTGCACACAATCATGTATACGTGAACATGCATACACAAAAAACGTGCCCCTAAATATCTACATACATGTGCACACACGTGTCCATGAGCATCTAAATGTCCCCATATCATTACATGTTCACACATGCACGCACACAGATGTGCACAGAAACAGCTACATGCCATTACACAGAATCACAGAACCACAGACTGCTTAGGGTTGGAAAGGACCTTAAAGCTCATACAGTTCCAACCCCCTGCTATGGGCACATGTGCACAAATGCATGCTCACACACATGCATGAATATGCATGCACAGATGCTGGCACATGCGCACATGTGTGTGCTGCTGCACACCCACACGAATGCTGTTCTTTCATCAGCTCCCCCTGCCTGGCTCCAAGTGTACAAGATAAAAAGCAAAGCAACACCCGCTCCTGCTTAACACTCGCAAAAGGATAATGGGAACAAGATTTCTTTTGGCGAAACACAGCGCCCTTCCCCCGGAGCTGGTAAATTGAGGTTGGGTGAGAGTTTTTCCAGGTGTCCTGTGAAATTCATTAATGTGTTAGACCAGATTTAACTGCTCAGGCCTGGCTTGGCGGGTGTGAGAAGTTGTCTCCCCCATGGCCGGCAGGAGCTTCAGTCCTGCAGAGCAAACACTCCCTCACCCGCCTGGTTGCAAGGATGCTGGTGGAAGGAAGAAAGAGCAAACCCTGGCCCTAAAAACAAAAAGAGCCTTTTGGAGGCCTAAGTGAGTGGGGTGAAAACTGGTGCTGGCACCACACGTTCAAACCCTCAGCTCCCCCCGGAGGTCCCTCATGCTGAGATTAGTGTAAAAATCACATGGCAGGCATCAAAATAACACTTGGTGTGTCAGTAGGTGCCTCGGGGGCTTGTGCCTTTTGAGCTCTTTTTCGTTTGTTTCCCTGGTGATGGTGAAAATAGGGACTTCTGAGGCAAATTCTGACTCTGGATGCTGGGATGCAGCTCCTGTGGGGAGAGCAGCAAATACTGCCCATGGTCCAAGTAGTCTGGGATGCTCTGTGCCAGGGATGCTGATGCTTGGCCAGGCTTTGCCAGGGCCAGGAGAGGTGGTAAAGTACCCCAGTATCCAGACTGTTCTTGCACATACCAGATAGCAGGACAGGGACAAGCCAGGTGGTTTGTGCCACTGAACTGAGGCAATTGCATGGAACAGCAGCAAAGGAGCAATATTTGGGGGTAGAGGGGCCTCGTTATTCCCTTGCATTACTGAAAGGCCAGTTGGGTTACCCCAAAGGGCAGCTCTGCTGTCCCATTGGGAATGCTTGGGGTCACCCCTGTTTGTCCCCTGCATCCTCTGGGGAAAGAGGGCAGATGGCAGCCCAGAGGGGAGTCTATGGGCAGCAGAGAAAGGTCAGGCAAATGATTCACTGCCCTTGGCACAGGTCCCTCCCTGTCTCCAGTTTAATTGGTGAGAGAGTAACTGGGACGTCTCACAGCATCACCAAACCTGCTGCAGGCCAGGGGCCCTCCTGGGTGGCACCTTTCCCTGGGAACATGCTGCAGGCCCTCCCAGGAGCCGGCTTCTGGGAAGAAACCTCCTCTTGCTGCCCAGCATCATCCCCTCTGGGATGCTGCTGTTGCCCACTCTGGGTTATTCCTTCCAGTCTAGGTTGGGGGTCAGGAAACTGCCTCCATCTGAGCTGGAGCCAAGCCAGGATTTTGGCATGGTCCTGGCCAGCCAAGGTGGGGATCTGGCCAGGCTGGGATGGGTGGCTGTCCCCTGCTCGGGGACAGGATCACATCAGCATGGGATCCACGGTTCAGCCATCTGGCACTAATTGGGGCAGTCAGGTCCCTCTTACCCAGATAAATACTTCCCTGTTCCTCAGCGCCGGCTAGGTTTCAAGCTCTCTCTGTCTCCCGTTAATCACTAATTAAAGGCTTGAATGTTCCCTGCTGTTTGGGGTATTAATAAGAATTTAATCGCACAGTTTGGGGCTAATTATGTGGTAGCTTGCTTCCGCCCTCATACAGTATGCCCAATTAAACAATCATATGATCAATTAAACAATCACAACATCTAACAATTTGCAATAATAGACTAATTAAATGTTGACACCTTGCAAAGGAGCAACGTTCTGTCCCCCTTTTGATGGTGGTTGAACCCCGGCCCACGCTCTGGCCACCCCACAACCTCTCCTCCTCCAGGCTGCTGCGGGTGAAGAGTGGAGGGTGATAGCACAAGGCGGTTTGGGGCAGGAAGCCCCTCACAGGACAGGCAGCGCTGCGCACCAGGGCACACGTGTGGCAGGCGATGGATGGAGCCCGCAGGGCAGGAGCATGGCTGCTGCCCCTGGAATTTTCCTGGGAATAATTAGGGAAGGCAGCCGGCTCAGTGAAACCCTAGACCTGCCGCTGCTGCCAACCCGCAGTGGATTCAAGCTACGCCCCTGCTTTGGCTGGAGGAGAGCCCGGGGCAGGATGAGGCTGCACCTCCACCCTGGGATGGGAACCGAGACCCTTCCCTCCCATCCACACTGCCCCTCCTCATGCGGAACGTGCTTGGGAAAAGAGGGGCCAGGGCTCATGCTGCCAAGAAGCAGGAGGGGAAGCAGAAGTGGTGGAGAGCCCTCCCTGAGGGCTACGAGGGGCAAGGCTGAGCCACTCCAGCCCCAGCCGGGGAGGAGTAGGACTTAAGATGCTCAGACAAGTATGAATACCCTCCATCGTGGTGTCTGCCTACTCCCAGCACTCCTGCCTTGGCACCCGCTGTCCATGCGGTGCAGCATCCCAGCAGACTGGGGGTTCAGGGGGATGCTGCTCGCTTGCCACCTCCCAAAGCCACTACCAACCCCGAATTACTGCCCACTATGCTCCCAGGGAAGGACCGTGGTTGGTGCTGCTATTTTCCAGCACATATGATAGGGAGAAGGCAGGGAGCATCCTGCCAGGGTAAGGGCTGCCAACAGCACATATCCCGCTCTAGAAGTAAAACTGGCCAGGGCAGCTCAAGGGGGTGTTTCTGAGATTTTTGCATGGGAAGTACTGAGATAGAAGAAGAAAGCAAAGATGTACAAGGAGCGACAGAGGACATAAGGGAAGCACTTGGTATCCTCTAAGTCCCATCACCTCTAAGTCCCATCACCACTCCAAGGATCAGTGTTTTCAGGCTCTGGCATCCCAGATCAATCTCCACAGCCCTCCAGCCCAGAGCAGAGGGAGCAGCAGCCAGCGAGGTCCTCCCAGGGGGGCACAGCCCCTCCTTCCTCACCGAACCCCCCGCATCAGAGCCAGCCCCGTGCATTATCCCAGTGCTCTGGGAGCGCTCCCGCAGCGGCGGCCACAAAGAGAACAAGAGCTCCTGCATCCCCAGTGACTGCATCAATTACTTCCAGTGGCTGCCCTGTGCTAATCCGCTTCCCCTTCTTCTCCAGGACAGGAGTTAGGGGGTTGCCTGCCGGGGGGCGGTGATAGGCTGCATGTGCAAGCAGTGGTGGGGAGGAGGAGGAGGCACAAGAATAAAGCTGATGCATCTCATGGGGGGAGCTCAGGACTTCGGTGATCCTGCTCGCACAGGCCACTCTGCTGGGATTATCCTTCACTGAAGGGCTAAAAGCTGGAGGGACACATGGATGAGGACACATGTCTGTCCTTCCTGCCTCTTTCCCGTTTTGGGCAGGGCACAGCAAAGCATCCTAATATTGGCAGGGCAAACACCTAGTGGGACATTCAGCCCTTTGGGGGTATCAGAGAGTCCCCTGTGCCCATGGACCGATGGCACCACTCTCTAACCACCAGGCACAGGGCCATGCACCCTGCGGCATGGAGCAGGCACTGGGCCCTCTTGCCAAGCCAGCAGTGTGATAAATCCACTGTCACCACCCTGGCTGGTGACATCCCCAAACCTGCCTACTTGCCAAAGCCACGCTGCCCCCCCCAGTGCCACAGAACAGCAATGTCCCTGTGAACCTCATGGCCACCACATGGCAGCCGTAGTGGGGTCATGCCCATTGCCCATGCTCAGACCTCAGCCATCACCCGCCTGTTTCACTTCTGCATTTCCCACCCCAGCCAGAGGCAGAAATTCTTGTGCAGTTAAAAGTTTGTCCTCAGCTGTGTGGATAGATGTCCCAGCACCATGACATGGTGCAGAACATAAATTTGCCCCCATGCCAGAGCAAGTAGAAACTCCTGGAGTGGGTCAAACCCTCATGCAGGATGCTGGGGAGCACAGAGCCAAGAGGTGACACTTCAGCACGACCTGAAGCTGTATCAGCCCCATGGTTCCATCCAAATCCACTTTTGGGATGTTTTAGCCCCCCAGGCCTGCCCCTTGGCTGGCACTGAGCTGCCAAGCTCCTGCATCCATCCACCCTCCTCCTTCTCACCCCTCCATAGCCACACATGATCACCAACCACCACACACCAGCATCACCGGTGCCCGCTGAAGGATGGAGTCTGAAAGCCTGCAGCCCTAGGCTGAGCAAAGGGAACTTCCCCGGCAGCCTCTCCTTTTAATTGGTACTAATTGCTGCATCTGTTCATGCTGGCTGGGGAGATGTCATTGTTGAAAGGCACAGAGGGGAAGGATTGGGGAGCTAATCCAGCTTTCAGCCGCTAAGCCCTTTGGAGTGGGTGACAGAGAAGCTCTTTTCAGGTCCCTTCAGAGAGGGCACAAAGCCTGAGAGGGGAAAGGGAGAAAGAAGGGGAGCGAATCAACAGGAAAAAACTACTTTCACACGCAGCTCGGGGAAGGGTCTTTGTGCAGGGGGGTTGTTGGGGTGGAGTTTGAAGGGACTGCGCTGTGCCCTCGTCTCCTCTTTTCTCTCTCATTTATCTTTTCAGCCCCATCTGCCGAAAGGGTGACGCAGCTGAGGGCAGTATGCTCAGGAGCACAGCCCTGCGGTGCAGGACCTTCACCCTGTGATGGCCAAGATGGACAGAGGGACAGGAGATCTGCAGATGCTCCCCTCAGTTTAACTTCTTCTGTGCCAGCAGAGCCATCGCTGCTGCCATCACCCTGCTATACCAGAGGACTCAATGGTGAGGCAGATGTGCTGTGGGGTGCCCCAAGGGTCCTCAGGCTAGGGTCCTGCTTTTTATCCCAGGGAGTTTCCATGGGTTCACTTCCATCCAGAGCCCTTCCCCTGGAGGCAGCAGCCATGGGCAGGGTGCAGAGTTGATGGGTTTTTTTCTGAGATTTGCTCCAAAACTCATCTTTCTGAGAAAAGTGGGAGAATGCAAGGGCTGACACATTCCCACAGGAAGTGAGGTGGTTTAAAGCATTGACCCCAGCACTTGCTTGGAGCCTGCTGCCTTTTTAGCCTTTCTTAGAAGAAATCCACTGTAACATATATATATATATATATTTTTTTTTAATATATATATATTATATATATAAATAAAAATAAGACGACAGCTGGGATATCAACAAGACATCGATCACAAATACTAACAAGTCCCCCTGACCTCTGGCACATCCACTGAGCCTTTCAGAGGCTGATTAATGGTATGGCTTTCCCTCGTCTCCATCCTTCCGCCACTCCCTGGGACCCAGGCTCCAGTCCAGGAAGAGTGAGGGGCTGTTCCTCCCTCTCCCAGACTTTTGCAGGGCTGTGGCATTCCCCAACCCCATCCCAAATCAGGACAAAAGAAAAAAAACCTCCATTAAAATCTCACAAAGAGTCAGGAGTGGGAGAGCTGAGCAAAGCCAGTATGATATTTTGGAACCATTTCATTTCAATGACAATATTTTTAACCTCTATGAGGACAGACAAGATAAAACCACCACGCAAAGCGCCATGCCAAACCCCCCATGAATGGTAAAATGTTGACTCAGGTATTTCCTTAATCTCTGCCAGGTTTTGCTGCCTGCTCCCTACCCCACAGCACATCTCATGGGGGACCACTGTGATTCCCCTTTGTGGCTCAGGGACAGCTTGTTTGATGCCCAAGGGAAAACCCCTAGATGGGCATTGTGCATCCCACACCCAGGTTTGCTGACCTGCTGGAAGACACCGCTGATTTTTTGGAGTGTTTCAGTGCCTTTGCCCATGGCAACTTGCTGGAGGGCTGGGAAAGTCAGAGACAGGGCAGATGCTTGAGCCTTTCCAAGCTCTCCAGGGATGGGGGATGCTCCCCAGTACCTCTGGACAAGTGCGCTCTATCACTTTGACTCAGCACCGATCCCATCCTCCCCCAACAACCCATTTAAGAGTTTCAACCCTGTAAAAAATGAAAGTGAAAAATGAAATCTCACTCACCCAGACACTCGTTGGCCTCACGAGCTGTGGCTCGCTGCCAGGGTCGATCATAGTGGAAGGGCTTGCAGCGGTCGCACTCGGGTCCCTCAGTGTTGTGCTTGCAGTCACACACCAGCTTCTGCTCCTTGTCCTTCACACAGCGCGCCGCATGCCCATTGCACTTGCAGCGCCCGCCGACCTGCAGCTCCCCTACCGCGTAATAATATGGGGTGGAGCTGGTGCCTCCTTCGTCCTCCCCAGCATCCCGGCTGCCCAGGTCGCGGAAGAGGTGCGGGCGGCTGAAGACCACACGGATGTCGGTGGCCGTCACCCAGTCCTGGAGCACGGGGCTACTGTCGAAGTCCTGGGCAGAGGGTCGCCCATCAAGGGTGCTGAAGGCAATGAGCCCGCCGGTGAGCGGGTAGAGGTCGGTGAGGCCATCGGTGCAGAGGGCCTCCTGCTCGTTCTGCTTGGTGACGGTGGCTTTGCTGGGCTTGCCGTAGATCTTACGGCACTGGGAGGAATAGTACTGGTATGGCACCCAGGTCTTGCCGTAGTCCATGGACTTGAGGATGGCGGTGGATTCTGGCCGGGGGGAGCAGAACTGGAGGCTGACATAGACCACCTCAAACTTCTTGCCGAGGGAGAGGGTGAGAGTGACATTCTGGGGTGAGTGGTGGAGGGTCTCAGAGCGCCAGCACGTCATATTGGATGCGGTGTTGAGGTCAGTCAGGTAGGCAGGCGGGTGGGCTCGGCGTGGATCCGAGGCGTTGCAATACCGCGTTGGGGGCTTCCCACATGTGCTGGAGGCTTGCACCTCCTTCCCAAAGGCGGCATTGACGAATTCAGGGATGCAGCGGCGAGGAGCACCACTCTCATCGTAGCAAGGGTCCAGGAGGGTCTGCTGGGCCACGAAGGGGTTCACGGTCTGAGAGAAGCCCAGCATGGCAGTGGTGAGGAGCAGGCGCAGGAGCTGCAGGACTTCCATCCTCCCGGGCGAGGGAAATGGCTCCTCCCTGGGTGGACAGCAAAGAGAGAGAATGGCTCCTGCAGCTCTGCCATGAGCAGCACAACCGCAGCACTGCTCATGCAGGAGGCTGGTAAGGGATGGGGAACAGCCCCATGTCTGCCTCTCGACCTGTGCTCACCTTCCCACCCCACACTTACTGATGTAGCCTTCTGGGAGCACAGCAGGGAGATGATTACTTATCCACACTTATCCCTTGCTGCTCATCAGCAGGAGCGAAATACCAAGGATGGGAGGTAGGTAAGAGCTGGAGAGACCTTTCGGCTGTGACAGGAGCTGCAAACCCAAGTTACCCAACCACAGCCCGAAACAGTTGCTGCCAGTGCAAGAGAAAAGAGCACCAGTGAAAACACCTTATGGGGGCATTTTACAACAGGCAGGAGCTCACCAGGATGAAGGCTTTGGGTCCAGCACCACTTTCCCTGCTGTGCCACAGCCCAAGCAACATCCCAGTAACCTTGGGCATGGTAGCTTTCCTGAACCAGATGCTAGATCCCTTCCAAATCCCACCACTACACTGCCTGAGTATTCCCACTGGCAAAAGAAGGTTATTCTGGCCTCACCCCCAGAAACCCAGGTCCGAGTCTGGCCTGTCTGTTAATGGAGGGAAAGGTAAAGACCATCACTGTCCACATTCAAGTGTCTTCTCCTAAAGTTTTGCAATGACTGATAGAATCTAGAGGAAAGTCATAAATACTTGAATGTTCAGATGGCGGTAGCTGATAAACTTGGACAATGCTCACCAGCAACATTTGACATAATTTTGGATTAAAATCAGCTTGAAGGTGCTTGCAAACACCTGACAGAATATCTTGAGGTGCACTGGTGTAGTGCACCCGTGACTCCACTCGTCAGGTGAGATTCAGGGTCCTCTGCACTTTCACTGTAACCTTTCGCAATCACTGGATTGCTGCTATGAAAATACATTTCAGACCCAAACAACAGTGCAGATCAGATGGGGATTTTTGATCAACAGGGAAATAGTGTAATAGGTTTTAAACAGTATAACCTACACTTGCTTCATTAGTTACTATTATCAAGGGCATGTAGGGACAGGACAAGGGGGAATGGCTTTAACCTGACAGAGGGGAGACCGAGATGAGCTCTTAGGCAGAAGCTCTTCCCTGTGAGGGTGCTGAGGCGCTGGCACAGGGTGCCCAGAGAAGCTGTGGCTGCCCCATCCCTGGCAGTGTTCAAGGCCAGGTTGGACACAGGGGCTTGGAGGAAGCTGCTCTAGTGGAAGGTGTCCCTGCCCGTGGAAGTGAGTTGGAACTGGATGAGCTTAAACATTGCTCCCAACCCAAACCAGCCTGGGATTCTGCGTGACTTGGATTTTGTGCTTCACTCAAAGAATAAAGCTCTGCTCCAACAGCATGACCCAAGCACAGTGATGCTCTGCTCCCCGTCTACAGCCCCCAACACCACCCTGGCCTGTCTGGCTGCCCAATTGGCCTAAGGAGCCTGGCAGGGGACAGCCCATTCCAAATGATACAGGGGTTTGGGGTTTTCTGCTTTATTCCCTTTCGCAAAAAAACACCAAGGAGCATGGCTTTGGAAGGAAGCTGCCTCTGTCCGGCTGCCAAACAACTATTGGGGGAAGCTCCTTTGTTCTCAGCCACGCTCAGGCAGGCAGCCAGTGCCAGAGCCTATGCATCTCCAGTGAGAAGGGAGCAGGGACAGGGGTCTCAGCCCATCCCTAGACATCTCCCCCAGGACAAATCCTGGCCCTGCCACCTCCACGCTGTTTCCTCACCGCTTTATCTGCCAATGGAAAAGGAGATGCTGCCTGCTGAAAAGCCAGTGGCTCCCTAGGTGGTCTCTGCATCACCCAGGCAGCATGTCCCTCACTGTGTGGCAGCACTACGGACCCCTTTGGGGACACAGCAGCCCAAGATGAGGGATGCTGTCTCTAGGGTGCCCAGAGCACTGACAACCCCCTATTCCACAGGAGCAGAGGGGGTATCAGGGATGTGGCTATCACCACAGTGGAGGAAGCACCGTGTCCCAAAGCACAAGGCAGTGAACAGCATCCCCATTGCAGGCAGCTGCCTCGTGGGCAGGAGGTGAAGCCCTAGTTGCTCCAAGCTTCCCTGCATCTGCCTGTCTGGGAACTGCTGAGTGAAGACAGCCTCTGGTTAACCCCTCAATACAATCCTGATGGAACCATTCCCAGGACCAGCCTAGTGCAGAGCAGCAGGCAGTGAACCAGAGCCCCTGCCAGCCCACAGGGCTCCTGCACTCAACCCAGCACCGAACCCCCCCTGCAATGCCAGTACTACCTGACCATGCAAATGCTTGTAGAGACCAGCATGGCCCTTCAGTCTTGTGATGCTGCAGCTCACCCATCATGCCATCCAATGCACACCCCACAGAGGGGACCTGGCTGGGTGCAGCCACCACCACCTCCCATCCCACCAGTGTCAGGGCAGCAGATGGGACCAGCACAACCCTATCAGAACAGAGGAGAAACCCCCTGGGATGCCGTAGAATCTGCATGAATCCACTCCAGGGGAACTTGGGCGTATCAAATGAGGCACACACCCTCTCCTCTATGCTACACGGTAGCAAGATGACAGGAGTAGGGCCATGCTCAGTGCGCCACCTGCAAAGGCCTTTTAATTCCTGGTAAGACACAAAGGTAGAAAGAAACCCCTGCCCAGAGGGCAGAGATAGCACCCACACCCAGTGGTGGCAAGGGAAGAGCCCAGAGGTGAAGGTGTAACAAGCAGGGCTGGGGCAGCAGGTCTAGGGCTCGGACCAGGGTTACCACTGGGACACTTAGGGAAACAAGCATCTCCCACCCACCCTCTGCATCCAACGGGAAGCTCAGTTTCTCCTGCCTACTGCAGCATGGTGCAAGCCCCAGAGGTTCCATGGGCAACCTTTGGGGGCTCTGCTCCTGGGGGGAGCCAGTGCTGGCTCGTTGGTGCTGTGGAGGCAGGGCAGGAATGGAAATCATTATCATTCGTGAGACCACACATAGGCACGCACGCTCCGTGCCCGACTCACCCCATTATCCTGCCGAAAGAGAGCCAGGGCCACTGGTCTCTGCGGGCCTCACCTTGTATCAGAGAAGCCTCAGCATGCTCCTTTTACGCATATTCAGCATGACCCCGCACTTCTGGCAAGCTGCTGGGGAGGCCTTGCTGTGGGGATTTCTCTCCCCGGCCCCTATCTTTCCCTGCTTTCCACTTCCCATCTTCACTGCCCCTGGGTTCAGTGCAAACAGAGGGTGCTGACTGAGGAAGGAGAAATGTCCCATCCCTGGCAGTGCTCAAGGCCAGGTTGAATGGGGCTTGGAGCAACCTGGTCTAGTGGAAGGTGTCCCTGCCCACGGCAGAGGGATGGAACTGGATGAGCTTAATGTCCTTTCCAACCCAAACCAGTCTGGGATTCTGGGATTCTATGAAATGGGACAAGTCTGTTGGCACAAATCCAGCACAAGGAGGGGGTGCAGCTCCCAGTGACAGCACACTAGCGGTGTCCCCGGCAATGCTCTCGGGTGGCCGCCAGCAGCACCACAGGGCTCACCCTTCCTGAGGAATCGACTCTGCTCCCAGCTCCTCCCCAGAAGCAGCTGCATTTCTGAGGTGGGCAATTTCCTCTCTCCTCCGCTCGGGAATGCTAACAGCCATGCAGCTTGGAAGGAAGTCATGCTGTCGCAGTGCTTCACACGTGCTTTTGAAAGGAAAGAATCAGCTACTGCATCCAGTGCCTCCACACCCCTGTTCCCTACAGCAACATGCTTCCCAAGTGTTCTCAGCATTTTCCTGCCTTGTGGGAGGTTTGTCAGGGTGCTGCTCCAGCCTGCCTTGGGTTCCCCTTCCCATCATCTTCTCCGGAAGCAGTGCTGCCAAAAGCAACGCCAGGCTCCAGGGCTCTGGATGCTGACCTATCAAGTGGGAGCTTGGTCCCAAAATGGAATGCATGAGACAAATACAGGTGACACAGGGCAAAAAGAACAGAAGTCCCCAAATACAGATGCTGGTGCCTACAGCGGGCCTAGGGTCACCACCCAACAGACTAGGGGCCATGACAGCTTTGCAGAGGTAGTTACAGGATTAAGTGGAATGACTTTGGGTGGGGAGGGAAGGGGGTTATTAGGCAGATCTGATCCCAGGACCTTTGCGGCATGAGAGCAGCCTTCTCCAGTTAAAGCTGAGTGGGAAGGTGTGAGCAGCCTGAGCCATCTGCTGAGCCCTGCTGCCCAAAAGCCTAGGCTTATAGGGCAGGGATGGCTAAAGCTGAGCAACCAGCATGGATTGGGAAGGGGAAAGCCCTGAGAAAGGGCAGGAAATGGTGCTTCCTTCCTGCCAGGGTCCTGCATGGTCCCCCCAGGTCCTTCCCAACACCACTGGCATGGCACAGTGGGCTGGGTTTCTCCTCTCGTGCATGGGGTGTCGACAGCACCTGAGGAAAGCATGTGGTCTTACATGGTCAAGATGGGGGTGCCTGGAATCCACAAGGTGCCACACCACAGGGACAAGGTCCCTAGTGCTAGCACAGGGTAGGGACAGAGCCACCCATGCATCCAGGGCACCAAAAAACTCCTCATGGCATGTCACAGAAAGGGAGTAGCAGGCAGAGGAACCCCCAGGCAAGGGGCAGAGCACCTGCGTACCTGAGGGGATCTGGCAACTAGATCCAAAGTACCTGAACTGGGCTGACGAGGACTGCTCATCCCTGCAGGGTGCCATCCCCAGTAAAGCCCACCAGCAGCTCTGAGCAGAAGGGCAATGAGGGGACAGGAGGGGACCGAAAGCAGAAGAAGAATGATGTGCTCAGAGAAACTGTAGCCAAGCCCAAACCACCAGAGCATGTGCCTTAACCAGGATGTACCTGCTACCAGACCTTGCACATTCTCACCTTGTCATGAGCCCTTTCTAATGAGGGCATCCCTGCTACCTGTGCTGTTGGAGGGACTCACTGCAGATCTGCTCCAGCTCCATGAACAGGGCCCACCTTGGGAAGCTGCCAGATCCCCAGGTCCCCACCCCTTCCATCCCATCCACAGGCACCAGTTCCCCACCCCACCACACTGATGTTAGCTGGGGGATGCTCCATCCCCCCACCCAACCAGCAGAGCTCGTCAGGACCAAGCTGTGCTCTGGCCATGGATAAATCATTCCATGTGTTGCTGGGACAAAAAAACACAACTGAGAAATATTTAAAACGAAAGGAAAAATCCCACGCAGCCAAGACGCTGGGACTGGGCTTGGCTTTCCAGCAGGAGGGAGCACACATGGTTAGGAGAGGCCGGAGGGATGCGGCACGGAATGCTGATTGCCTTCCCAGCCGCTAATGGAGCAACCAATGCCCACTTGGGATGCAGCTAATGGCACTGAGAAGATGCCTTGCTTTGCTCTACAGGCTCCTCCTCTCTTCTGATATTTAAACATCAGAAGCTTCCAGCAGCATATGGATCCGCATCCATGGAGCCGATCACTCTGCACAGCCCCTCGGGCTTTCAGCCCCTCCTCCCCAGGGTCCGTGCATCTCACATGGGCAATTACACAGCAGCGTCCTCCTGCAGCAGGCACCCCCGGCACTAGGTATCACGATGCTCTCTGGCAGGCTGGAGCCAGCATTACACAAGCCATATGATACCTCAGCAGTGCCAGAAGACACACACAAATTACACTGCACGCAGAAAAGGATGGGCCAGATTCTGACCTCAGCCCTTTGGCATCATCCAGCAGTAACTCCATTCACATCACGCCAAACCAAGACGTAAGCGACTCCATTCAAATTTACACTGGCATACCTGTGGTCAGAATCTGGCCTGGCTTGAATTAACTTCAGCCTGACATTACAAAAGGCAGAAACAGAGCCCAGATTTCCTGGGTTATCGAAAACAACCAAAAAGAATAAAAAACCAAAAAGAATAAAAAACCAAAAAGAAATCCACCACAAAGCAAACAGTCCCTAGGCTACTCCACCATGTGCAGAGCTGTCAAAGGCTGGATGTTTACATCCATCCCTGCTCACCCATTTTGGTAGCTCATAAGTCACACTGGCCATGGGAAGGAGAGTCCCCCGTGGGTGCCCTGCTCCTGCTCTGCTCGCCAGCAGCCCTGGGGACAGATGTTCCTGCTCCTGGGAGCAGAGATTTCAGCATTGAATCATCTACATGCTGTGGAGCTGAATCCCTTTTGCTGAAACAGTCTTGCATCCTTCAGCCAGCACAGGCTGGGGATCTCCTCCTTGTGCTCCCAACACAACATTGGCTCAAGGAGGCATCTGGAGCCCTGCAGGAACAGAAAACACAGCTGCCTTGTTGCTACTGTTAACCTCCATTACTGCTTGACTTGTAGCTTCATCCAACTCTAATCCCACCCCAGCTCCCTGAACCCATTGTACAATCCTGCCACGCCATGTGCTCCCCAGGAGCACCCCTGGAGGTGCAGAGGGTTTTCCTCCTCCTGCGCCCAGCCAGTGCACGGGACTTGCATGGTCCCAGCCTAGAAGTCCTCATTGCTTCAACCCCTTTCCACTCTTCCATACAGGAATACAGTGATCTGGTTTCCATAACGTCCCTTGTTGCCTTTTCACAACATGCCGGGCACAGATGTTGAAAATAGTCTGGATGAATATTTAAAATGGCATTCAGAGATGACAGCATTTGGCTGGCTTTGAAAGATCTCTTACATTGGGTCGAATATGGCTCACGACAATGGGGCCGGAAACACGCTGCACTTTGACATCTCAGCTTTAGCTTTTTTGTTTTACCCCCTCTCTGGCTGTTGGTAGGATATTTCATGCTCCTGGTGTCCCACAGCCTGTTGTTGCTTGAGTGCCAGCCAAGTCTGCAGCCTTTGGAAGAGGCTGTCACGTATATTTTTCAACATCACAGGGCAAAGCAGAATATGGAAAATCTGTCGCGTTTCCATACAGACTGCAAGTGTCCTGCGCAGGCTCAGGGAGGGGCTCATGGGGGCACAAAATAATTGCTTCCTTATGGAGCAGGGCCTGACTAACAGGGTGGGGTAACAGAAGGCAGAGGTGCAATGGACATCCTTAGCATGGTGGCCTCTTCTCTGCCGATGGAAGTCTCAGTGTGTGCTCCAAGGTCTGTGCTGATGCTCACCTCCTTCCAGGCTGGGAAACCCTGCTCAGACCCACACCACCAACTGCCACCCAAGGTGGGGCCCCTGTTCCAGCCAGCTCAGGCTGAAGACACATGTTCTGGTGCTAAGGAGCAGCAGCAACGTTCCTCAGCCCACACTCCTACCAGCTTGCAGTTTTGGTGGGCTCCTCACTTCAGGCCACAGCGTGCTCAGCTGCATCCCTGGGCTCAACTTCTTCCTTCTCTAGGCTGCAGACTCACCTTGGCTCCTTCCCAGCCCAGGATTACACCTGCCCTCTGCTCTGCAGGGACCAACTCACCCTTGTTCCATGTACTGGCAGAGGAGGGAGGGATGTTGGGACCCCCACAGCCCACCCTGCGCTGGTGGGCTGCAAGACCTCCTGTCCCCTCACCAGCTTGCTCCAGCCAGGTGGTCAGAGCAGCACGCCAGCTCCCTCTGTTTTATAAATGGGATATTGCTAGGGGAAAAAAAAAACCAACAACAACAAAAAAACCACAACAACAACAACAAAAAACAAACAAAAAGAGTTGCCATCCATCCATCCAAATGCCTTGGAGGGTGGTTTTGGAGCACAGCTTAAGCCACATTCCTGCTGCACTGGCTGCAGGGAGCTCCAGACTCTCATGGCTTTGAGAGTGGGTAACAGCGAACTCGGCCAGGGAAGAAGGATCTGTGTCGCTTCCATGTCCAGGGTTGGCAAATCAGGTTTATGCTCAGTATCATCTCAGGTCCGAAACAAATGGCATGGTCAGAGGTGGGAATGCTCAGCCCCTCATCAGGTCAAGGAGAGCCCATGCACAAACACTGCGTAGATGAGCATCCAGCCAGCAGGAGCCACAAGCACTGGCTCCTCCCCACGGGGCCTTCCTCACTTACCTGCTCAGCGAGAGCCAAGTGAGGCAGCAGACTGCTGAGCACCACGTTCCCCATCACACCAGTTATTCCTTATCCCAGGAAAGTTATTTCCACCCACCCACTCCCCGGTGGGCCAGGAAGCTGCGGGAGGGACAGCGCTTTGAAGGAATGAGGGTTCAGCAGCTCCAAGACAGAAAAGCAGAAACCCCAGCTTCCCTTCTCCCTGTGCCAACACCCCCTCCACGTGCTCTGGCTGGAGCTGCGTGCTCTCATGTGGGGCAGGGTGCTGGGAGTGCTAAAGGGGTCTCAGCCTGGCCCCAGGACTGCAGCAACAGCAGGAGCTGCTTCCACAGGGAAGCCCAGCTCTGAGCTGCCACGCAGAGAGGTCTCCCCAGGGCAGCAGTGTCGGGAAGGGACCAGCGATAACCCCAAGCCTGAGCTGGTGGCAAGGGTGAGGACACACTACCAAGGTGCCCAGTGGCTTTGTGCTGGTGGGGACCTTTGGAGTGGGTGAAGGCGTCGCGCAGGCGCTGCGGGCAGCACGTGCGTGCCCCGTGCGCGGGCACTGCAGGCAGCGCATGGCAGCGCTCCCGCACCGGGTCCCCCCGGCAGCCTCGCAGCAGCGGGAAGGGGATCAGACAACGCGGGCCTCCGTGCAGCGCCGGGTGCCCCGCGTACCCCGGCCGGCGCTGCGGCTGTGAACCGAGTGGAGCCGGGTCAACGCGCAGAGCGGCGGCGGCCGAAGATACCGGAGTCTTGCCCGGCTGCTGGCGGGCGGGCGGCAACCCCAGCCCCACCGCGGGGAGGTCCCGTTAGCAGCGGTGAAAGCATGGAAAGGGAAATAAAGGGCTGGGGGGGGGGGGGGGGGGGAGAGGAATAAAAGGCAGCGAGGGAGGGAGCGGTGGGGAGCCGAGTAGGAGCCGCCTGGCCGGGAAGTTGGAAGAGCAGCTTACCCCGGGCGGGCAGGTAGCAGGGTCAGTCCGGGCAGCAGGTCCAGGAGTGAGAGGAGCCGGGGCAGCAGCAGCAGCGGGGCGGGAGACGTGGGACAGCTCCCCCTTCCCTTGGCTGATCGCAGCACAGGAAAAAAGGGGGGGGGGAACCACCCAAAAAGCACCCCCACCCCCCCAAAAAAAAAAGAAAAAGGAAGGACCACCCACCCCCCCCCAAAAAAAAAACACCAAACCCCCCCACCCAGCAATAATAACAAGTTGCCAAGGAAGGTGGGGGAAAGAGAAAGCAAAATAAAGCGAAATAGTGCGAAGAGGGAGGGCTGCTCCCGGCAGTGCGGGCGGGTCCCCAGCGCCGTGCCCGCAGCCGACCGCGCTCCTGCCCTCTCCACCGCACCGCCCGCGGCTGCTCCGGCTGCGAGAGAGAAGGAGAAAGAGAGAAGAAAGGGAAAAACACCCAATAAAATTAATATATATATATGAATATATATATATAGAGAGAGAGAGAGAGAGAGAGAAAAAGAAAAGCAAGAAATGGAGGAACTGAGCCGCGACCGCTGCCTGGGAGAGGAGTAAAAAGGCTCTAATAAATCCCGGGTTGAAAAGAAGGGAAAAGTCACCTCCCCGAGGAAATCAGAAGCAGATTTTGAGCCATTTAATCACATGCAGGGAGGTGTGTGTGTGTGTGCGCACCGCCCGCCGCCGCGCTGCCCGCCCTGCCTCCGCCCTCCGCCGCCGCCCCGCCGGGACCGGAGCGGGAAGGGGCCGGCATCGAAGCTGGCCAGGCCGGGAGGAAGGGGCCTCCCCGCCGGCGGACAACCCTCCCCGTCGGGGCACCGTGCGGGGCGGGCTCCCACCTGCCGCCCGCTCCAGCCCCGCGGCCACCCGGGAGTTCTGTCCGGAGTGGACCCATCGCCGCTGTGGCCCTGGACGCCAAGGGCTCAGCCGGTGCCGCGTATAATCCTCCCCGTGCTTCCCAAAGCAGAAGAAATGACGGATTTACGAGGCCGGAACAGCCTCCTCTTACGAAGGAGTAGGAGAATGGAGCTTTTGCTCCAGTTCACGATGCCGAAGCTGCTATGCCAGCACCAATCTCAACCTCTGATTTTCGCTCGTAAGGAAGAGAAATAGGGAACCCACTGCGAGAGACTACTCATCCCTACTGCCTCCGGGCTTCCCCAGGGAAAAAGTCTGACTACCCTATTCATCCCAGGCCACCTGTGAGTGGGGGAAGAAAAAGGTGAAACTAATCTAATCAGCGTTTGTGTGAGGCGGCAGAGGAGAGCAGAAAACCTGGACCTGGATCCCCTCGTTCACTAGGTTCGTGTTCACAGCACTGCACCCCCCACATCTTCTAGCTTGGCCTGGAGAACATCCTTCATATGGATGCCCTTGTGAGGACAGAGGAGGGTACCAGAGGTGGTGAGAAGAGCAAGGTGCCCATACGGTGCTCACCCATTATGTTCAAGGCATCACCAGCATCACCCCAAACCTGAGGACCCCTAGTTATGGAGGAGACCCCTGGTCCCCACATCCTGTTGCTCCAGCGCAGCAGGTTGCAGAAGAAGCCTCTCTCCATCCGTCTGGCAGATGCTTGCTGAAGGATGAGACCCCAGCTGGCCTCGAGTCCCAGGGAAAATGCTGTTTGCTGCTGTCAGCCGTGTTGCACAAAACACATTTTCCCACTACTCTAGCGGCAGCAGTATGGATAAACAAGCGCAAAGCCACCAGGTGACAGGGCAGAGGAGACCCGAACTGTGGGCAGGGGAACTGTAGGGGTCTGTAAGTCTGATGCCACAAACGTTCTTGTGCATTTGGAGAGTCAGAAGGAAAAGGCATAAGCCACAAAGCCCCAGCAGCCCAGATGCAGATGCCAGTGGAAAAGCAAGTGCAGGGCCAGTGTGTGTTTGTGAGGGCAGTGATTACCAGGAAAGTGTAAGACTTTGTGCATGGGGCTGGGAACAGCTGGGATGACCAAGGCAATGGGGCAAAAGCCCCATTGTACTCAGCTCCAAGATCCTGAGGTGGCACAAAGAAGGAATTGTCCCACGGATGGTCCTGAAGGTGTTTTCCTCACCAGAAAGCACAAGGACCACCATAAATATGAGCTGTGATGCTGAGCTGGCCTGGCCTGGCTGCTCCACAGTGGTGCTGTGTCACCACAGCCCCATAGCTGCTCTTTTCACACTCATCTACCTACATCCTGAGTCCCAAACATATGCTGGCTACCATACAGGGAAGTCCTGGAACTGATGTCTACAGGCCTCACATCAGTTAAACCCCACCTGAGAAGGGCAGAAGCTGTTTCCTGATTCCTCATTTCCACTGTTTGCTGCATATCCCCTTTGTAGGGTGGAGAGCCCAAGAGAAAAATGTGAATCTGGGTTTGGCAAATAGGGGGCTGCTGAGGACATCAGCAGGGATGGAACACTCACTATGGTAGGAATCAGACTGCTGAGACTCTGCTGGGTGTCTCTTGGTTTGCCAACATTACCAGGAACCATGTTCCCAATGCTCACTGCATTCCTGGACTGAATTGTTAGGACTGCGAGGAGGAGAGGGCAAATGCATTGTGTGGTTTCTGTCATCCCCGTGTCTGCAGGCAGCTCTGCAAGCTCCCTCTACATGTGCATCTGTTCCTGCTTCTCATGCCACATGAAGGCCCAACATCTGGTGCCAGCCAGGATGCTCATTTAATGGGGGATTGCTGGAAGGACACAAGAGATGCACAAGCTGTCAGAGCAAAAGCTGTGTCTCTGGCACTGAGTCAGCAGTGGCAGATACAGAGACACAGACTGATTTGGGTTGAAAGGGACCTTAAAGCTCATCCAGTTCCAACCCCCTGCCATGGGCAGGGACACCTTCTGCTAGACCAGGTTGCTCCAAGCCCCATCCAACCTGCCCTTGAACACTGCCAGGGATGAGGCAGCCACAGCTTCTCTGGGCACCCTGTGCCAGCGCCTCAGCACCCTCACAGGGAAGAGCTTCTGCCTAAGAGCTCATCTCAGTCTCCCCTCTGTCAGGTTAAAGCCATTCCCCCTTGTCCTGTCCCTACAGGCCTTTGTCAAAAGCCCCTCTCCATCCTTCTTGTAAGTCCTCTTTCCATACCGAAATGTCGTGGCAGGTCTCCCCACACTCCCTCTCCTTCGGGCCGCACCGCCACAGCTCTCCCTCCCTCCCTCTTTCCCTCGGTCCGTGCCTCTCGCGCTTGCCCGCCACCGCACGGCCGGCCTCTCACAACCAGTTCCGGTGCCGGTGCTGGTCCCGGTGCCGCCGCTGCGCTGTTCGCGGCCCTCGCTCTCCCCCTGCCGGGCTTCCCGGCCCCGTCGGAGGGAGGAGAAGGTCCCGTACAGACAGCACCAGCCCCTCGCATCCTCCGTGTTCCGGTACGAAAGGCTCCAAGAGGCAGAAGTTCGTGTTCCCATGCTCCTTCCTCCTGGTCTGGCAGGCAGGGAAGAGACCCCATGTGCTACCTTCCTCGAGTCCTTCTTTAATCCTTCAGTGGAGAAGGAGGCTGGAGCAGCTCTGCTCTGGAGCCAGGCTGAGAGAGCTGGGCTGGTTCAGCCTGGAGAAGAGAAGGCTCCTTAAGGGGAGGCCTTAGAGCAGCTTCCAGTGCCTAAAGGGGCTGCAAGAAACCTGGAGAGGGGCTTTGGACGAGGGCCTGTAGGGACAGGACAAGGGGGAATGGCTTTAACCTGACAGAGGGGAGACTGAGGTGAGCTCTTAGGCAGAAGTTCTTCCCTGTGAGGGTGCTGAGGTGCTGGCACAGGGTGCCCAGAGCAGCTGTGGCTGCCCCATCCCTGGCAGTGTTCAAGGTCAGGTTGGATGGGGCTTGGAGCAACCTGGTCTAGTGGAAGGTGTCCCTGTGCATGGCAGGGGGTTGGAACTGGATGAGCTTTAAGGTCCCTTCCAACCCAAACCAGTCTGATTCTATGACAAGGGAAGACTCTTTTCTTTGGCTGGTCTCACAGGCCCCTGCCCCACTGCAGGGGAAGAAGAGGAGTCAATTTTCGCCACTGGGTCATATTCAGACTGATTCCGTAATTCCCATGTTTCTCTTCTTTCTGTGCCATTTATTCTCCAAAGGCACTTCACCTCCACCTCCACCTGTGCTGGGCTGGCAGTCTCCAGGCAGACACATCTCCCTTTCCACCCTGTGTTCAGAGCCTGTCCTCACACCTGGTGTTTTCTGGAGTGCAGGTCCCCAGGAACTGAAACATGGACTTCAGGGCATGCAGAGAAGTACAAACATCTCATGCCATGGGGTGTGCTTTGCTGAAGGCAACCTGCCACTGCTGCATCACACCAGAGGCTTAGGACTCACCTGTGACTCACCAGTCTTTGGGGGTCTTGTCCTCTCCAGCCTCCTGGTCATCACTAGCCAACCCAACCCCATAGCACATTCGGGTCCATGTAATAAGTAATAGACTGAACCTTGCTGTCAAATTCTGTTAGGTTGTACCTTTAAAAATCATAATAAAATCCCTCTTGCTTTGATGGTCATGCTTGGAGTGACCCTAAACCACTCGTTTAATGACAAATTGGTATAGTTGGCAGGATTCCTTTCTCTTGCTCTACATGGCCAGAGAGCCTGGTGTCTAGGCACAGGCAGCACCCACGGTTTGAGCACCATGGTGGTATGCAGGCAGCCCCAGTGGGCCTTTCCTGGGGAGCAGCAGTGCTGCACTGTGCTTTGACCTCACTTCTCTGCCACCCAGGAGGGCCATTGGAGCAGCTCATGGTGAGGTTCTCAGGTCTGGGTGCCCCTATGAGCCTGTGTAAAATCAGCACGAGGTTGCCACGGACAGAGACACAGACAGAACACATGCTATTGCCCTCAGCTCCCAGGGGAAAGCTGAGCAGCTGGGGCTCAGGAATCATTTATACATGATCTGTTTCCTCACCGACATAAATAGCCATTTCCAAGCAGAAGCAGACAGGAGAGGCAGACCCCAGTGGGGATAGGGATTACTGCGTGAAAGGTGTGAATGAACATGCCTTGGGAAAACAAAGTGCAACATCCAGCACTTAACACCACCACAAACGGATGTTACATGTTTTTTTCCCACTCTGACCCTGCTCACTCCACTCGGAGGATGCTGTATGTGAACATTGCACAGGTCCGGCACTGAACAGAAGCTTCAGCTCACCAGAGGGAAGCTGGAGGGATGCTAAGGGGTTGGTGTGATTCCCTCCCCAATCTTGGACCGGCAGGATGCTGTGGGAAGAGGGTGCAATGGACAGTCAAAGATGTGCACCACTTCCCAAACGCCACCCTCTATGCCCGCAGCCAGTTGCAGCTCCGCAGGCACCTCATTCTGCTCTTCTCCGCGCCAGGAATCCCCTGCTCCCTAGGCGGCCGGTGGCAGGGTGAGAGGCCCGATGCGGCCGCGATGGGCGCACATCTCCGGCAGAACAGCCGCGAGGTGGTGCCGTTCCTCCGCCGCTGCTGTCCCAGCCCCGGCTCTCCGGCAGCTTGGGAGCGGGTGGGCCCGGGAAAAGCCAGTCCGCTGAGGCGCTTGCACATACGTTTATGTTGTCAGCAGTGGGAGGATGTTGTGTGGTGTCCTCGCTTGTGATCGTGGGGTCTCCAGCACGCTCCCTGTGTGGCGGATCTCCCTGGAACAACGGCTGCCCAGCAGCAGCTCTGCTGGAGCTGGGTTATGTGGATGCAGAGCAACAGTTTTTCCAGGAAAACATCCCATATGACCTTTGGGAGCTGCTTTGCAAACGCTGTCCACAGGTCTGAAGTCAGCAGCAAAACTTGGCCTTAGCACAAGCAGCTCTTATACTAAACCTCATGAGGTATCTCAGCATCTGCAGAGGACCTTACTCCTCACCAGCTCCAGTCAGGTGCCCACCACCCCTGTGCTTGCTGTAGGTATGTGAAGGAGCTGGGCAACGTCTTGGTGCACTGGAGGAATCTGAGCTGCACTGGCTGGTGGGCAGCACCTCATCCACAGCATTAAAGGAGCTGTTGTTCCCCACAGAAAGTGGCTGCTGATGCTGCAACAGGAGCACAGTTCTGGGTACAGCAGGGGTGCTCCCAGCTGGACACCAAGGGAAAGGCCCACAGACCTGCCTGGCAGATGAAGGCTGCCCTGTGTGAGCCAGGAGCAGCTCACTAGGCTGGCTCTGGCATGGCTGGTTTGAGGTTTGGCCTGTGTATTGCTTGCTCCAAACCAATACAGCCTTTAGTGTTTGGGTAGATCTGGGCTGGGAGTCCAGAAAGCCTCAGCAGCGTGAGCCATGCTGCTACCACTCAATTGGACATGGCACAGGGGGTCCTTGGTTTGCTCCAAGCGTGCTGCTGGAACCATGAGTTGCAACACGGCGATGCCAGCCCAAGTCCCCAAAGCAGCAGGACCTGCTGTTGCCCAAGCTTGCCTTAGGCAGTGTCCCACTGTCTCTGCAAGCAGCCTGCGGCTCCAGAGCCCGCTCAGTTGCCCGCACTAGCACCTTTTGTGATGTAATTAAATCTGGCTATTTGAAATGGTGGGATTTAAGTGCCTGCTTCCTTGTCTTCTTTGGGAGTGCCAGAACATGGGCAGACCTGTAGGGATGGAGGTAATTTCTAGGAGGCAGCAGAAGGAGCAGGACCACCTGTTGAAATCAATGTGCCATCACGTCTGTGCTGCTGACAACACCATCAAACCCAGCGGAAACCATGGAGCACGCCCCTGCTCCCAGCGGTGGTGAAGTAGAGCACAGAGTGGGCAAATGAGGTGTGCAGACATTTCCCAAGCATAGCTGCCAAAGCCTCTCACTGTGGCCCCTGGCCTAGGCCAGCATGTCCCTGCCCTCAGCCACAGCACGGCACTTGCTGGGGCTACATGTGGCTGGAGGTGGGGTTCACTCTGGTCTTCTGTGGCTGCACTACTCCAGCCCCAGGTACTACTGGGGAAGGTCACCTTTCCACCCAGCCTCTGCTGATGGCCCTGGGGCTGAGATCCCACCAGAGCAGAGCACAGGGGGTCCATTGGCATGGCTGCATCTTTGAAGTTGTCCTGGAAATGAGCCTGTTTGGAAATGGTGGGGGTACCTGGCCAGCAGCCACAGGGATGGCTGGGGGAGCAGGGATGCGAGGGGAAGAGCTGGGGCAAAGGGTTGGGAAGGAGGGACCAGGGCAAGAAGGGAGAGAATGAAGGCAGGAGATAGAGAGGAAAGGTGGGAGGGAAAGGAGGGGGAAGGATTTAATAAGAAAGCAAAGCATAAGGTGGGAAGAGAAGAAAGATGGGATGGGGGAAAGAGACACAGAGACACAGGGAGTTTTGTAACAACTTAAATTCATTCCAGACAATGTCCAAGGAGCCCTGGCAGCACGGGTTGAAACAAACCCTGCCTTTGATTTTATGAGTTCATTATATGTTGTTTGGGACAGTGATTCACGCGTCTTGGCTGGTTCACATTTTCCCTTGTGTCACAAATGAAGAGGGGACCATGAGATGGATTCTTTGGGTGGAAAATATTCCCTCAATTGTTAGGTAGATGTCTCTGTGCCATGCAGAGGTCCCAGGAGAGTAGTCTCCAGGGCTGCTCCAGCTCCCTGCACAGCACACACACACAACCTCTGTGCCTTGCGTCTTGTTCTGTATTAAAGGTACTGGCAGGGCAGAAGGAGGTGAGAAGATGCCTGGTGATAGCCATGCATGTTCTGCACCTGCTTTTCAGTGCAAAACAGGATGGGCCAGAGGATGGCCACTGCGGACAGCTTGGACTCATCTGGGGAGGAGATGCAGCCACCAAGGATGGTTCTGGGGGAACAGTGTCTCAGAGCCCATCTCTCCTGAGCATGAAGGAGGGTGACCACAGGGCTGCAGCCCCAGGCTTGGGGACCACACTGTGGTCACACTGCAGCACTCATCTCCATCCCTATCCCAAGAGCATCACTGTGCTTACTGGTTGTTGCTGCCTGAAGATGTGAAGCACTGGGTGAACTCCAGGGAAAACCATTCAGGAATGGGTTGGTGGCTTTCCTAGACCATTTTGGTCAGATATATTCAGGAATCTAATATAGGGCCTGGTCAGAAAAATAACAAATCCTGCCCAACCAACACTGAAGTTTGCATTGAAGCTGACTGAAAAGCACCGATGACTTGGTTGGGTACTGTTACTATTTTTAGCTTCCTGTGTCATTTCAGGTTTTCCAGTGAAAGGAAGAAAAAACACAATGATGTTTAAAGCATATTGTTCTTAGAGAAAATACAGGCCTTAGGAAATGAACACAACAGCCTGGCATTTCTCAGTTTTGATTTATAATTTCTCTTCCAAACCTAGGCAAAGTTCAATCAAATTTTTAATTTTGACCAGAAACCCATTTTTTTTTTGGTGTGGTCAGTTCTAAGCCCTGGGAAATGACTGCACCTCTAACCTGAACAGCCATGACCCAACCAACCTAACAGCCATAACCCAGCACGCAGAGCTTCCCATGCTGGTGTATCTTATACTGGCCAGCATGAAGGTGCCACGAAGAACTACACTCTCCTCTTTTTGCACAGCAACCTGGTCTAGTGAAAGTCCTTGCCCGCAGCAGGGGGTTGGAACTGGTTGAGCTTTAAGGTCCAAAGCTTCCAACCCAAACTGTTCTGTGATTCTTTGATTCTATGATTAGCCTGTAAGTACAGATGCGACTCACAAGCTTGCACTGGTGCCAGATAAGCTTCATGTTGATTTCCAGGGAGAAATGCCATGAAGAAGCCTTCCTTGATGTGTCCATGAGGACACAGGGGAATGGCTTTAACCTGACAGAGAGGAGATTGAGATGCGCTCTTAGGCAGTTCTTCCCTGTGAGGGTGCTGAGGCGCTGGCACAGGGTGCCCAGAGAAGCTGTGGCTGCCCCATCCCTGGCAGTGTTCAAGGCCAGGTTGGATGGGGCTTGGAGCAACCTGGTCTAGTGGAAGGTGTCCCTGCCCGTGGCAGGGGGTTGGAACTGGGTGAGCTTTAACCAGTCTGGGATTCTATGAAGGTGCATTTGAAGCGGGACTGCTGAAAGCTTGTAAGCTGGCAGGGGAGGACTGATAGCCCAGCCCTGCAACCACAGAGATGCCCTGCTCCAAATGAGTCCCAGAGACCTGATTACCCCACACTCCATTCTTCCTTCAGGCCTGGGCTAAGGCACTGACAGTCCTGCGGGGAGTCTCTTCTGAGGATAAAGTGCAGTCTTTATTCTGCTTGGATTCCAGGCCAGCATCTTTCCCCAGCACGAGCTTCACTTCAGGAAAATGAGGTGGGTTTTTTTTTTGTTTGAATGTTGCTGTTTTTAAAGCAAATTCTTAGGGAAAACACTCACTGAGATGGATCAGCTCATTTTCAAAGTTATCCTGAGGCAAAAGTCAGAGGGTGTGGGCTGCGATACACACCCACATCTGTACAATAAGGAAGGCAACAGCACAAAGCAAAAACAATTGCATGAAAAGCTTTCCAACAAGAAAGTTTGCAAACCCGCAGAGCCCAGCCTATTTCTTGTGGTCCATGGGTCCCAGATAATGGGGCCTGACAATGGAACAATGGGGGCCGAAAGACGCAGCTCATGATTAGGAGTTATATAACAGCAGCTGGCATTTATTAATAACACTCTTGTTGTGCTTTATTCTCTTGGTTAGCACTTTTCAGGTTCAGAGGACTTTACAACCCCTGGCTATCCCAGATTTGTTGCTCAGCAGGAGGTGACTGGGAAGAAACACTGGCCTGTAGCTGCAGGAATGCCTTTCATGCCTGCTCCCGTTGTAGACTTTAAAAGGGAGAAGGGGAAATGCTAAGTGATGGGCTTGCACTGGCTATTTGGGACCTCTCCTCTTCCCCACAGTCTTACGGGTGGTATAAGACCACAAAGAAACCTCATTGGGGAACACAAGGTTTTCCTGGTATGAGTTATGGAACCTTAACATTTTCAAAGTGCTCCTTTTTCTGGAGAATGAGCAAAGCTGGGTCTTTCACTGGAATGGAGAAGTATGGTGGGGTTCAATCCCAAATGGGAACCAGCCCTGGAGGAGAAGTCCACAGCCAGCCTGCAGCAATGGCATCTGCCTCTTGGCACGTCTTCGGGAGCAGGAGTGAAACATCTCACTGGAACAAAGACAATCCTGATGGCTGCCTACCACATCCTTGGGACGTGCCGGTTGAAGCAGTAACCATGGCTGCTCTTGGAGAACCCGCTAGGTGCAGGCTGGGCCTGGCCAGAGGCTTTCTCTCCTCAGCACATGAGACCTTGACACAGAGCAATAGTTATTCTGTCCAGCACAGGGGATGAGTGGTCCAGTCTGAACAGGTTGTCTCCTTCTGGTCTGGGTAGGCTATTTATTGCTCCTCTGACTGTTGCTCATGGTATGTGCTGACCGCTCAGCCTGCTCATGAAAAACAGAATTCCCATCCAAGCTCCGGTGCCAAGCAGGCAGCGATGGTTTTCTTCTCAGCAGGCCTGGGAACCTCTTCTCATCCCTGGAGGGCAGATGTCTCCAAAGCAGCTCAGATCTGGGACAGTTGTAGCCCTGGACAAGGCTCTGGACTCAAACACCCGAACAGCTCATCAGACAGCCCTTGGCCTGTCCAAAAGCAGAACTAGCACAGCTAGGAACAAAACCTGCCCATGTGCATGCAGGTGAAAGCCAAGGGATCCTCACAGCCCCACAGCTCTACTAACCAGGAGGCATGGGAGAGCTGCAGATTCCCACAGTGAGACTCTTCTGCAATGAGAATGAGGCAGGTTTTGCATCTACAGCAAGGGATGGGACCTGGTGCTTTTCTCCACTGGTTCTTGGACTGCACATGCTCCAGTGAGCAGTCCTCAGGCCTGGAAATTCACACTTCCAGCAGCTGCTGTTACAGGAAAGGGCTGGGGATGCCAAACAAAGCCAAGGGTAAAGAGCCACTCTAGGGACAGCCCTAGGAGAAGCCCAGGGAGTCCTGGGGAGGTGCCTACTCAGCCTTCACTGCAGTTCTTGGGTTGCTGACTGAAGGTACAGGGCTATGATGCTGAAGTGTGATTCCCAGAGCAAGTCAAGCAGTAGCCAAGCTGATACATCCTGTAAGGACAAAACCACATTTGTTAGTGTGACTTAAATCAATCACATCTCCCTAGACATGCCCACCTGCAGAGGACAGATCCCGAGATAACAGGTAGCAGGACCTTTTTTATTTCACCTGCTGTCTCAGAAGTGCTGGCAGCATCAGGAGCATCTCACATCCATCCCCTATCTGAGAAAAAGCATCACACATCACCAGCTGATGTTCTCTGGTGGAGAGCATATTGCCTTCTGTGCTTCAACTGCCAGAAGAACTGTGTAAGGCTCCACACACTGGCAGCCACCTGCCAGCTGGTGGCTTATCATCTCAAAGTATTGAGAAAGGCAATGGCAAGGTTGACTACTCATTGCACATCTCCTCAGCCTTTGGCTGTTTGTGTGCCAAACTGTGTGAGAGACAGTGACAGCAGGATGGCAGCGGCTGAGCATCCTCCATGATGCAGCCAAGGAGATGAGTGCAGCAGAGCTAGTGGCAGGCGTCAGTGGTGACACATGGGGACCACAGAGCGGGATGGGGTTGCTTTCAGTCTTTGACTGCAGAACACATTGCTGGTAGGGGAAACAAGGCCATCTCCTGGGGTTCCTCTCTCATCTAGGGTCTGGTTCAGCCTCAGAAAAGAGTCAGTCCTGGGGCTTCTTCCCACCCCTGTGTGCCTTCTTGCCTTCTTGGCTGAGAGAGCCTATGATGCTGCATAGCTGTGCTATGTGACAGGGGTATTAACAGGGGACAGTGCCCCTCAAGCCCCCACCTCACGATATCTGGCCCCAGTGATCTCAGCTACAGGATGGCTGGGATGGCAGCACGGATGGGATCCAGCTGCCTGTTCCTATGGGATGAGGTGAGACTGGCTGGATGAGACAGGCAGCCAGAGGATATGATGAGAGTCATTTCAGACCTTTTAAACCAAGCATTACTTACACATGCCCTTTGTTGCTGAGATTGAAATCAGGACCCTCCCAGCTTCAAAGATGGTGGGCATAAATGATCATATTTCTGTTCATACCTCCAGCCTGAGCTGTATCTAGAAATATCTAAGATCACACTACTTCCAGGCAGGAAAATCCTTGTTATGTGCCCTGACATATTGCAGAAAAAAGGTTTAATTACAAAGGATTTTCTTAGGGCAAGAAGGACATCCTGATCCAGGCAAGTTGATGAGGAATAAAACATTCTCCTTGCACTTACTGGGAAAGGATCACACCTACTATCCTGAAAGGACCTTTCATTTTCTTTTTGCCTTGTGTCACTGCAACCACACCAGCACTGCAGTCTGAATGTATGGAGTCTGGAGGCTCAAGCTGGATCAAAAGGTTTCATGCTGTCCAAAGGAAACCTCTAGAATGCATTTTTTTTTTCCCCTACAACTTGATTTGATGGGTAATTGCACAGGTAGACAAACAATATAGTTTCAAGGTAAGTCTTATCTGAAAAAAAATCCTGCCAATTAGCAAACCCAGTTTCCAGGGCTGTTTCTTTCTGGTGTGGGTTTCACGTGCATTTGCCGTGCCTCCCCACCTCCAGACGAGGTGCGTTTAACAGTATGGCTTAACGTCATCTGGCTGCAAAGCTGGTCTCTCTGGATTCTAGTGACAGTTCTTCAATGACCCATCCCCCATCTTCTTGTATTTCTTGATCTGCTCTGCCTGGTTTGAGGTTTCACCCTGTTAGAGGTTGGGTGGTTTTTTTCTGGACCTGTCATTGCCAGTACAGCCTGCACCTCGGAGATCCACTTGAAAAGCTTGTGAAAGGAGAAAGAACTCCATATTCTCTGAAGCTGCCCATGGCATTGGGATTTCCCGGCCTTGCTCCAATGGTTCTCAGGGCACAGCAGAGCCAGCCTCCCACCTTGGGAGCTCAGTGTCACAGCAAGAATCTTAGAATCATAGAATGGTTTGGGTTGGAAGGGACCTTAAAGTTCATCCAGTTCCAACCCCCTGCCTTCCACTAGACCAGGTTGCTCCAAGCCCCTACCAACATGGCCTTGAACACTACCAGGGATTAGGCAGCCACAGCTTCTCTGGGCAACCAGTGCCAGTGCCTCAGCACCCTCACAGTAAAGAACTTCCTTCTGAATTTCCCCTGTTTCAGTTTAAATCCATTACCTCTTGTCCTGTTGCTACAGTTCCTGATGAAGCATCCCTCTCCGACATCCTTACAGGCCCCCTTCAGATACTGGAAGGCTGCTATGAGGTCTCCATGCAGCTTCTCTTCTCCAGCCTAAACAGCCCACATTTTCTCAGCCTGTCTTCATACAGGAGATGCTCCAGCCCCTGATCATCCTCATGGCCTCCTCTGGACTTGCTCCAACAGCTCCATGTTCCTTTGAGGAAAAAGGAAGCAAGAAGAAAGGAAGAAGTCTGCTAGCAATGAGCAGAAACACAAGTCTGCAGGGTTTGTTAGTAGGAATTACTGCCATATATTATCAGTGCACTCCTCCGTGGCCAGGATTAAAGCCTCATGTCCCAGGCTTTAGCAGGCTTGCCCAGAGTGCACCAACACATGCTTTTATTCTCTTGTGTGTATGCACCAACAGAGACATCTCTCACCTGTGTTACAAAGGGGTGGAGGTTTGCAGATGGCCTTTAGCAGACAGATGTGCCATGCAGCGCTTGCCAGCACTTTTGGATGAAAAATGGCATAAAAATATTAAATTATGGTGAAGAACAGAGGAAAAAACATGACTGAATTTTCACCATTTCTTTCCTGGCTCCTGGCTCACTACTGAGCTGATCAGATGTTTCTAAATTCAGCCACACTTCAAAAATTTTGACCAAAAAACACAAGGATTGTTTTAGAAAAATGTTTCTCAGTTTTTCCCTTCTGGTTTGGCCATGTGTCCTGCTCAGTGAGACAAGACTCCAGTTGGTTTTTCTGACTAGAACCACACTTTAAAGAGTGCAGCCATTCCCTTAATTGGGGCTGATAAATCTTGCAGGCATAGATGAAGATAAATCACATTTTGAGCCCAGAGTACAAATTCTCAGGGTTTAAACATTTGTGTGGTATTTGTTAAGCAATTTGAAGGCTTATTGAAGTAACTGAGCTGGACAACAGGGCTGGACCTGGACCAAGACAACAACTATGTGCAGACGGCGCGTAGGCAACAGAGATGGAGGGGTTAGATGAATCCCACTTCACTCAGAGCATTCACGGAGGATACCTTTTTTCTTCTATGCAAGGGTATCTTTGATGGTTCCTCTTCCACCACTCCCTTTGGAAGGATGGAGGGCTGCTTTGTCCACCACTATGGGAAGCATTTATATGCAAGGCATGCTGAAGTTCCTCATGTAGAACATATTTACGTCAGCTCAGATGAAAGCTGTAGAGGGTTTTGGACTTCTGGGGTCTGTTTGCTGGCCAGTGGCTGCTACTGCTGCTGCAGAGGGAAAGGAGGCTCATGCAGCTCTGGGGTGGCTTCATGGGACATCCCATGGGAGGTCGATGGTGGCTGGTAGGAAGCTGGAATTAGAATCATAGTATCGTAGAATGGTTTGGGTTGCAAAGAACCTTAAAACTCGTCCAGACCAAACACTCCTGCCATGGGCAGGGACACCTTCCACTAGACCAGGTTGCTTCAAGCTGTCCAATCTGGCCAGGGATGGCGCAGCCGCAGCTTCTCTGGGCACCCTGTGCCAGCACCTCAGCACCCTCACAGAGAAGAATGTCTGCCTAATATCCAACCTAAATCTGCCCTGTTTATTTCTGAACCCATTATCCCTTGTCCTGTCCCTACACTCCCTGATGAAGTATCCCTCTCCAGCATCCTTGCAGCCCCTTTAGGCACTGGGAGCTGCTCTAAGGTCTCCCCTTAAGGAGCCTTCTCTTCTCCAGGCTGAACCAGCCCAGCTCTCTCAGCCTGGCTCCAGAGCAGAGCTGCTCCAGCCCTCACAGCATCTCCGTGGCCTCCTCTGGACTCCCTCTAACAGCTCCACGTCCCTCTTGTGTTGGGCACACCAGAAGTGTCCACAAACTGTGTGTTTGTGACAGAGCTGCTTGTCCAACAAGTGTCACCCATCACAGGCTGAGGGAGCCCCTACATCACCACACTGTGCCTCAGCCCGACGTGGGCAAAGGCTCCACTCCGTTCGGCACATCGGGGCCCAGGCCGCTGCTCCCCGGGGCCCTGAGCCCAGCGAAGGCTGCTGGGTCTCTGCCAGGACCCTCCTCCGCGGGTTCCACACTGGTCCCTGTCCACGGTGACACGGCAGAGGCCGGGCACTGCCACAGTCCCTATGGGGCGGGCAGAGGGGAGCGGCAGGGCGGGGGCCCCGGTGGGGTGTCTGAGAGCCCGGTGAGGCGGGCGGAGAGGGGCAGAGGCGCTGCGAGGGCCCGGCGAGGTGACACCCCGCGGCAAGCAACGTGCGGCGGACCCCGGCGGACCCCGGCGGGTCCCGCGGGCCGCCAGGTGGCGCCCTTTTCCCGGCTGAACGGCGCCCGCGGCGGAGACGGCCCCAGATGGGCCCTGCGCGGCCCGGCCGGCACCGGCGCCCAGGAGACGGGAGGCCGCGGGGTCCGAGTATGCCCTGGAGCTGGAGCAGGCCGCGGACAGCAACCCCCGGGCAGGGGCCGCCTTCTTCCCAGTGCCTGTCCCCGGAGCGCCCCAGGGGCGGGGGAAGGCTACCCGGCCCCACTGCCCGCACCCAACACCCCTCCCCGCGAGTCCCAGCCTCTCTGGAGCCCTGAGAGACGAGTGTCAGCGTCCTCCAGTGCTGCAGAGCAGCCCAGCAGCCCCTCAGCACTACCCCGGGCCTCTGCTCGCTGTGGGGTGACCGGTGCCCTGCTGGGAGCACCTCCAGGGCAACGTCTGGCAGGAGGGGGCAGAGCGCCGTGTGTCTGGTTCCACAGAGCAGCACAGCAGCGCTGCCCGGGCTGAAGGCACCTCCTTCAGCCGAGGGCTCCGTTGGGTACCACTGCACTACACACACCATCTCCAACATCCTTCGTTATTAGTGGCAAAGTCCAGCTTCACTGCTATGCGTTGACCTGCATGCCGCTTTCTCTGCCTCAAAGAGGTGGCCGAGAGGATTGCTGGCTGCAGTCCTGGTGAGAAAGGAGGAGGCAAAAGTAGGCTCTTTCCTAAAATAGAGTGGAACACCAAGTCCAGTTCAGTGCTTAATCTCAGCTCCAGGATGAAATATGGTCCCTTTCCCAATAAAGTAGATAAACTGAGCCAAGGCTGGAGGCCCAGTCCTTTGTTAGTACCATCTCCTGGAGTGTCTTTTGGCAGTAAATGGGATGGAAGCAGACCAGACAATGCCTGAGGACACAGCCAGCCTCAGAGGAGATCTGATGGCTCTTGCACAACCTTCCAAGAAGCCTATGGACTTCAACACCTGTACGTGATCCCTCAGAGTGAATTACCATCTGTGACAAGGAGCTCTTTCTCCAGCATCGTTGTTCTCTTTTCCCACTCCAGACTCAGAGCCTGGTTTCCAAAGACTGTCCTGCCCTGATACCCAGAGGTGCAGCTTTTACTTCCCTCTGCAGCATTGCTGCTGCTCAGCTTTGGCCCCTTCTACCTTCCCAAAGCAGCCAAAGCTGGAACAGAGGAGTTGCAACGCAGCATGCACTGGATATGCTGCTGCTCAGTGGGTGGGATCACCATTCTGGGAGCTCCAGGGTCCTCACTGTGGACCTCCCACAGCTCTGGCAGCACTGGCTCCAAAGCCCTGGCTTTCTGTAGTGGCTTTAAAGACTTCTCTGGGGGAAAAGGTTCAGATCTTAACTAAGGGGGGTGGCCAGTGAGCTTGGCTGGTCACCTTGTTCTCTGCTCTCCAGCATGGGGAGGTAACTTGTTTCAAAGCACCCTGTTTGTGATCCTTAGACCACATGGTAATAAGGCTCATAGAATCAGAATCATGGAATCAGCCAGGTTGGAAAAGACCTTTAAGACCATTAAGTCCAACTGTTCCCACAGCACTGCCAAGACCACCACTAAACCATGTCACTAAGGGCCTCATCTACACGACTTGTTACTTCCAGGGACAGTGACTTCACCTGGGCGGCCTGTTCCAATGCCTGCCCACCCTTCCACTGAAAGGGTGGCTGACGTGGCTGACCTAGTCATGCCCTCTGAGAGCAACCATGCCTCACGTCTGGCATTACCCAGTGTAACACCCTTCACTCCTAGTTTCCAGATCCAAGAAGCAGCTTTTCCCATTGTACACTCCATCGTATCTCTGGGACCATGGGCTTCTGTGAGGGCTTCTCTCCTAATATGCCCCAGTGGTGGTCCGTGTGCCT